GCTCAACGATCAAAAAGGACTTGTAATGAAGCTGAGTCTGAACGAGGACCTCCAACTCAACGACGATGTAGAAACTACGGAATAGCTGGACACAACTCACGGACTTGCCAGACAGATAGAGATGCTCCTTCTGAACCATATCCTAGCATAGCAGATGTATAACTAAGTATGTGGTTGAATAAACAACGGTTGTAGTCACCTCAGTTGTAATGCCAAGACAAAATGGCCCGTTCGGTGATTTGGCCCGCTCGGTGATAGATTACGTTACAGAAGATTTTTGTGTTATATATTCGGACAGGGAAAAAAACAGGTGTAAACAACAAAGATCGCAACAATGCAGGACCGTTCTCATCATGAATCATCTTCTTTGGAACAGATGTAAAAGTGCACCTTCTCACCCTGACTGTTCGTTTCGAGGTTCGAGCCTCGCAGTCCAGCAAAAGTTTAACAAATGCTTGCTTTTGAGCATTGGGCCAGTTCCGATGGCAGCCTGGCCGTACCCCTCCTTTCCAACGCTTTTCTCCACCGTTCTGCCTTTTTTTTTTCTTTCTTGCGTGACCGTTACGAGATGGTGTAACGCAGAATGGATTTCGTGATCTCGTTCGATAGCCTTGCTCCATCCTCCTCTTTCCGAGTTTCTCCTGTCCTCTAACTCGAGTTGTTTCGACAAGTCTCAGACTCAAAGCTTTGCGAGGGCAGCGTTTATGCGACGGTCTCTGTCCGGACCTTTTTGGCCGCAGGGACCTCGGCCTCAGCGTCCGCCTGCTCGTCGATCGAGCGCTTCTCCGCCTCTTTGTTCAGGTCCATCTCGGCCTTGACGAACTTCTTCTTCTCCTCTGCACTGAGGGGCAACAGCGGGCGCTCCTTCTCGGCAGACAGGTTGAAGTGGAAGTTACGGATGATGCTGTCAGCGTCGTCGATGGCCAACGGGCGAACGTCGGCCAAAGCCTTAATCTTCAAGGTCACAGCCTTAATTTGCGCGTCGGACATGTTCAGGCCGAGCTGCTCAGCACGCGACTTGATCGCGTTCCAGCCAGTGAGACGGCTGGCGAAGTGCACGTAACGGCTCATGCCGAAGTCGGAGGGGGTGATGATTTCGTAGGTAGAGGGGTTGTTGAGGATGGCCTTGGCGTGGATACCGGCCTTGTGGGTGAAAGCGCAGAAACCGGTGATGGGGTTGTTGAAGGGCACGTTGACCTCGACGGCCTCGGCCACGAGGTCCTCGATCTCCTTGATCTTCTCGAGCTTGTATTTGCCCTTGACATAGTCACGGTCGGCGACAATCATGCGTGCCATCAAACCACCGAGGGTGGTAATTCCGTTACGCTCACCGATACCAAGGACTGAGGTGTCGATGTGGGTGGCACCGGCCTCGAGAGCGCAGTAGGCGTTGGCGATGGCGCAACCAGTGTCGTTGTGGAAGTGGGTCTCGATGTCACAGCTGACAACGCCGCGAAGAGTTCGGACGAGATCGTAGACTTGGCGAGGAGTAGCACAGCTATGGATGATTTCGTGTCAGCAGAACGTCCCCAAAGCTAAATCATGCTCGCCAGAACCGACACCTCAAGCCGTGGACAGAAATTACTCACCCAACAGTGTCAGCAATACCCACACGGTGCACACCGACCTTGTCGACCGCGCTGTACAACGACAGCAGATCGACCAAGTTGCTCCGGAAGGAGTCCTCGGAACTGAATCGGATCTCCTTGCCTTGTGACTTGACGTACTCAATGACCTCAATCGCAGTGTTCTTGATGTACGTCATATCCTTTCCGTGCGAGTGCTCCATCAGGTGGCTGCTGGTACCAATGACGACATCGACACCGTCAACACCAGTAGCGACGGCCATCTTGGCGTCGTTCATGTTGCATCGCACGTGAGTCAAAATCTTGGCCTTGAGTCCCAATTTGCAGATGGCCTCGCAATCCAACCGAGACTGCTCGCTAGCGGCGGGCGAAGTCAACTCGATGTAGTCGACACCGAAGTCGTCGAGGGCGCGGGCGATTTTGATCTTGGTCTCGGTGTCGAAGAAGGCGTTGGCGAACTGCTCGCCTTCTCGTAGTGTTGACTCGATGATTTTGAATTTGCCGATATTGCTCAGGTAGTCCTGGACAGGGGCGTATGGGTTACTTGAAACGGGTCGGACGGTGTGTGTCTCGAAGGCTCTGGAGGAGCAGAAAGACGAATCATTAGCTGCGTTGTCCCGCGTGTTTGACCATCATTGTGCGTGGACGACAGAACGTGCTTACTTGAAACCCGGGTGTCCGCTGCCATTGGTGGTACCATTGCCATTGGCATGGCCATTGGCGTGGCCATTGGAGTGGCCATTTGACTGGTGGCCATTTTCTTCGTCTGGAGTTGGGCACATGATGAAGTTGCCGAGGTCGGCGCCGGACCGCGCAGAGAAGTGTGGAGACGGTTGGTGAGCTGGTACTTCACGGGTGTTGCAGTGAAGTCTTTGATCGTGTGGATGGCTTGAGAGGAAGAGGTAGAAGTGGAGGAGGAGGGATTGAAAAACGGAGAGTGTAGGGGAGAAGAGGAGGAGGAAGGGAAAAGTGTTTTAGAGTCAGAGGAACAAGAGGGATTTTTTCTCAATGCGCACGCAACCAGCCCTGGAGGTGTGTGTGAGTCGAGTGACGGCGAAAGAGAAATCGAGGGTAAGCAGAAAATGGACGGAATAACGAAAACTGGGGTACCGTCGGCGGGCTTTTTTCCTTCGGCTCTGGCGCGCGCGCATTGTTAGCTGACTGTCTGGCCGCCTCTGTCTGTGAAAGTGTCTGTGGGAGTGTGCAGGTGTGAATGAATTGTCTGGCTAGCAGCAGCCTTGCATTTTTGGCTGCTGATGATGATGATGCCGCCGGGCATCCCATCGCTAAACTCCAGGATCACGCATGAAGACCTCCAAATGAAAATCCGGCATCACGCCCTACACTCTGCCACTAAGGCATCAATTGACTGACACCCAGACGAGATCGGCAAGAAGGTCGTTCCTGCTGAAGTTACAAAACACACGGTTTGGTGAGCATTCCACGGTTGTTATTATTCTAGGTACTGTAAACGTGACGTTCTGTGCCCGCTGGAGTTCTCAGCTTGGTAACAAGAGACGCACGCGGCCGGCATGTCGGATACTTTGCTTGTTGCTCAGGCACAGGAACAGTCATACATACGTTCATATCCAGATCCTGAACTTACCTACATACTGTATGCACATTCTGCAGACAGTGTGACTCCTCCTGCTGGGCCCTGGATCAGCGCCTCTTGCCGGTGCGCGCGCGTGCGGAGAAAGCCCAGCTCCTGGGGGCGAGCGACTACACTATGACGAACACAGAAGTTTTTCGTCGGTTGTGAGTCTAGTGCTGTCTTTCGCCTGTAGCATTGGCTGGACAACACGCTCGACGCACCCCATCCTCCACCGAAATCCTAGTCACTCGTGCTACTGCCGCTACATGTAGCAGGTGCAGTGTGCTCAAAGATCCCGCATGATCTTATTCTGCATCAGCGCATGTCCGCTATGCGTCCGGCGAGCCGAGATGCGGTCCTGTATCTGCAGCACAGAGATAGAGCAGTACGTAGCGCCGATGACGGAGCGTCAGTATTGGTTGCCCGCACTTCCCAGGGCACTGATCATCAGTGATGACCGTTTACACTACCGTGACTACCATGAGCCAGTTGCGTAGTACTGATACGACTAGACTGCCATATCTGAGGCGGTGACGACACGCTTGATGGATGGTATCGATGGCCATTGGCGCGCACAATATATCGCTCATCCACTTCTCCACGAGACGAGACGAGACGGCATTCGGTCATACATGGAGTCTGAGTTGTACATCTGATCACGTGGTGTATTGCCTTCTTTGCATTCCATCGATGCACGTGACCTAGGGAATGTGTTTCCTCGCTCTTCGAAGTGTATTGGGAACCACATGCCTAGAAGTACAGTAGCATGTTGATTACTACTACGTAGCTACCTAGGTAGACAGTGGTGATCTTTTCCTTGATGATCTCTTCCTTGCCAGACCTACCTGGGTGTGCTTCCATACACGCCTGGTGATGAGAGTCTCTAATGTGTTCATGGCTTGGTCGATCATGGCTGATCGTTCACAGCTCGACGATATACTTTTGCGGACTCGCCCCTCGTGAGACGTACGACAACTTCGGCTACTGGAGCTGACGACTATCGTGCACTCCTCGATCTGGGCGGACGACGGCAGCATCCTGCCATTTTCACTGCCTGAAAGGATCGTTGGACCCACAATCTACGTTTGCATCAACCCGTGGACATCGTCAAACGAGTCCGAAGCCCGTTCGATGGCGTCGTTGGTCGCGGTCCCGGCCGCAGTTGCTGTTAGGGTTGCGCTTCGAGTCAATTTCATGCCTGAGGCTTCAGTAAAGGTCTTTGGTCTCGTAGCCATTTAGATCCAGGCCCGGGGACGAAGCGCAGAGCACAGGAATGAAGACTACCTACCTAGGCAGGTATTCTTTGGTCGATCCTGCACGAGAACGTGACGTCGAGAAGCTTGAAAGACGCGCGTCGATCTGTCAATGGAAGGGTGAATATATTCCATGTTCGATGTCTACTGTACTGAACCGTCTTCCTGCGGGAAGCTCAGCAGCATATGCTCCGCAAATATGTACTGTACAATAAATACACACCTGCAGTCACCAACCGTAGTACGTACGCGCCGGATGTTGACTGCTTCTGGCTGTTCCGATCCAACAAGTATATCCCAACATCACAGAAGCATCACTATGTAGAATCTCAATTTCGCCATAGATTGTATCTGCCAACGATTGCGGCCAAGCATTGAGTCAGACTTCAGCCTCATGTTTGTTGCGCCGAGCCACCGAAGAAGGCAGGGCTTTGCGATCCAATTCTTTGCTGACTAGTTCGTCTCGGCGCTGACTGACGGGTTTGTCCTTCGTCGTCGTACCACGTCGCAATGCACTGCCTGCCCAGGTACGAGCGCGAGTCCGAGCTCATTTTAAAATTTTCCGCACAGTCACCTGCATTGGGAACGCCGCAGAACTGGCTCAAGAATATCGTCAGATGATGGGACGTCGCTTCATGTAGATATATATAGGAATTCAAACATCTGCAATCTCTTTGGATCTCGGTTCCCAGTTCTTGAGCTCATCAACCTATTCTCGTCTACCAAACCATCGTCAAAGTCGAATAGTCACCTCTCCAAAATTGGGAAAACAATACAAGGGCAGGAGACAATGGCTCAGCCGCAGGCATACCAGCAGGTGGCCATCACCACTCAGACCGGCAAAGGTAAACAGAATACACCACGACAACAAAGCCTCTCCTCGAACACCGTGAACTTCGCTCTCAGCGATGATATAAACCTCATCTCCCGCGACACTGCCTGTCTCTTAACAAAACAACCTAAACGCATCGTAACAAGTCCTCAACTGACCGCTCCCAAGGCGCCCTCGAACCAATGAGCATACTCCTGAACGACTCTTTCCGAGATGATCCCGCTATGCGATACGGTCTCGGCGCTCTCTCCGAAGCCGAACAAGAAGCCTACCGACAACAATTCCTTCGCGTCCTCTTCAAAGCTGCGGCACTCAACGGCGGTTCGTTCCATTTCGCCCGGGACGATAAGTCCTGTGGCGGGATCTGGGTGCCTCCGGGAAAGAAAGTGTATGTGTTTCTCCACCTCTCTCACTTTCACTCTTTCAACCTGGGCCATGGAGCACCCGTGTGACCGCGATCTTGAGCCTACTCCCTAAAGGCGTTTGAAGTGGTGATGACTATCAGATCTATTTGCTGACTTGAGGAATCTACGATCAGTGACAATCCGTTGACCGTTTTCCCTTCGGGTTTCCTTGGAGTCATTCGAAAGTTGGGATTGAAGGGATCAAGTGTGAGTCGGCTTTCATTTTACTCTTCAGCCATTCTATCAGCTGGGCTCCCATTGCTACTTCCTGAGGAGATGTGTGAAAAGCGCGTGATCAAAGCCGTCTTACGTTCAAAATCAACCCTTTTGGAAAGCGACGAAGTCCAATCAGCATGCAGACACAAGCAGCTAAGATTCCCTTCTTCCTGTGATGCCGAAACAAAACGAAATCACTCACTGACTCCTGGAAACCACCAGCGCATCCTCCTTGACCTCCCCAGCCAAAGCAACGACCGCAAAAAGCACCACCTCTACCCGGTCTCCAAGCGCTACCACTACCTCTTCTTCCTGGGCACCGCGACAAGCGCGCAAGGCCAAGGACTCGGCGGCGCCATCATCAAGCGCGTACAAGACCGCATCCTCGCCAGCTCACCCCACAATCAGTCCCCCAAACCCTCCCTGCCCGCCGGAGAGACGCCCCTGGAATTCCTCCCCATCTGGCTCGAGTCCTCCACCGAGGGCTCCCGCCGCCTCTATGAGCGCTGTGGGTTCCGCCAGGTAGGCGAGAACATCGTCCTCGGCGGAGGAACGCATGATCGCACCGGGAGGCCTGTGCCCAAGGAGCAAGCTGGCACTGGAGATGGCGTGTTTGTTTTTCCGATGATTTGGATTCCCGAGGGCTTTCAGGTTGCTAATGCCACCACTTCCGCCTCTGTTGCTGATGCGGCCAAGGCTCCTGTTATCGCTGCTGAGGCGACTCCTACTCCTGCCGTTGCTGCTGATGCGACTCCTGGCCCTGCCCCCGCCGCCGCTGCCGCTCCATCCCCGCTGCCGGTGGCCTCTTCGTGAGGATAACCCATGTGACCTATGTAATAGGAGGCGCGGCACTATTGTGTTGTACAGATCGCGAAGAACGAAGAAGGAAGAAGAAGTCTTGACTTAGGAGATTCCCATTGGTTTTGATATCATTGAGCCAGATATGTTTTCAAATAATGACTCTTGCGCATATTCCTGATATCTTGCTCGGACGTTGACCTCCATCAATCGCGACCAGTCGCGCAGCGCGAAGGAAACAAAAAGAAAAAACAGATCTCAAATGAACGTCGCAACATGATATGTACAACAAGGTCGTCTCCACTTCGAACCCTCCATCGAACAGAGAAATCTGTTCCATTCACAACTTCGCCTTCGTACTCTTCGCCGCCTCCTCCTCCTGATACCGCACCTTCAACAGCCTCCTCAGAATCTTGCCGCTCGCGCTCTTCGGGATCTCCTTCGTAAACCGCACGCCGCCCCTCAACTTCTTATGCGCGGCGACCCTCCCCGCCAACCATCCGGCCAGCTCCTCCGCGAGTTTGGGGCTCGGCTCGACGCCCGCCGCCGGCACGATGTACGCCAGCGGGACCTCCGTCGCGAGCTCCGGGCGGAAGACCCCCAGGACGGCGACGTCCGCGATCTTGGCGTGGCTGGCGAGTAGACCCTCGAGCTCGGCGGGAGGGACCTGGAAACCTTTGTATTTGATCAGTTCCTTGACGCGGTCGGTGATGTAGAAGTTGCCCTTGGCGTCTTGGTAGCCGACGTCGCCGGTCTTGAAGTAGCCGTCGCTTGTCATGCAATGCGCCGTTCCCGCCGCGTTGTTCAGGTAGCCCTTGAAGACGTTGGGCCCCTTGATCCAGAGCTCGCCGACTTGGCCGGCGGCGACCTCCTTTTCGTCTTCGGACATGTACTTGGCGGTCTGGTTGGGGAGCAGGTGGCCGACGCTGCCGATGGTCTGGTCCCAGTCGTCCCAGCGTTGCGTGTGCGTCGTCGGGCTGGTCTCGGAGAGGCCGTAGCCTTGCTTGATGGGGATTTTCAGGCGCGCGTATTCCTGCTCCAAGAGCTCTTTGGTGAGGGGCGCGGCGCCGCAGGTCAGCATGCGCAGGGAGCTGAGGTCGTATTTGGAGACGCCGGGGTCTTTGGCGAGCCCGAGGACGACCGGAGGCACGACGAAGGAGGTGGTGATTTTGTGGTCTTGCACGATCTGGCACCAGCCGTGGAGGTCGAATTTGGGCATCACGACGATTTTGATGCCCCGGTGGATGAATTGATGGATGATGACGGTGAGGCCGTAGATGTGGAAGAAGGGCAGGAAGGCGAGGCAGCTGTCGCTTTTCCAACCCAGTGGGCCCTCCATTGCTTCGTTCATGAGCACGTCGGCGATGATGTTGCGGTGGGACAGCATCACTCCCTTGGGAAGACCAGTGGTGCCAGAGCTGTAGACTAGAAAGGCGAGGTCATTATCCGGGTCGACTTTGGCTCGGCGGTATCGCGATGTTCCGGCCATGTTGCGTACACTCGTGAAGTGTTTGACAAGCCCATCAGGATGCTTGCCGTCACCGATGAGACAGATGCGGTCGACTGGAATTCCAACCTTCCCCGCAGCCTCGAGTGCGATGGGTAGCACTGAGAGCTGCGTGACAATGCCTCGTGCTCCAGAATCTATGATCATGGTTGTCAGTACGTGTGAATGAAGTGATTCATGAAGCAGGCTCCGCAATGCGAACGCCGATTCTTGGAAATCTCATTCCCGACCACGGCCACTACCTACCCTTTAATTGATGGACAAGCTCAGCGGCTGTGTAGCCCGGGTTTGCTGGGCTCACAATGGCACCCGCGAAATGAGCACCCCACATGACCGCCGGAGTGTCAATGCTGTTCGGCGTGAACAGATTGAGTACATCGCCCTTTTCGAAGTCCCATAGCGCTCGTAGACCTTTGCCGAAGTCGATGGCACTCTGTTTCAACTGGGCGTACGTGTATGATCGTTTCGAATAGGGATCGACGAGGATCACTGCGAGGCGTGTTAGTCGTCGGGAGAGTTACTAGCAAAAGGCGGTATCATTTTTTCGTGATCGATGAGTGAAGATGTACCTTGGTCGTCAGGGAATTCGCGGTTCTTATTCTCAAAGAGAAAGTCCCAAATGCCGACATTGGGAATATCCACATCCGGGATCGTCGATTTGAACGGCATGATAGGCGCTGAATGACAATCTGAGGGACACCGAGATTTACAGGGCCGAACGGGTCAAGCACACGATCAAGGCACAGATCCCCAAAGCCAGATTGGGAGTGGAGGCGTGTAAGAGGTGGTTTTGTAGAGGATGACTACTTGAAATTCTTAAGGAAAAGGAAGCACAATGCTGCAAGATCGTCCTCTTCCAAGGCGCAATCAGAAGACGAGAGGCATTATATAATAGCTAAGCAGTTCATGCTATGTACGTGCGTCGAGCACGGCGCAATGCCGACAATCGATAAGAGATAGCTTCGTGCTCTACATAACCGATGGCGACGATACGGACGACGACTCGAAGGATTATTCAACTTGTCTTGTCCCACCCGATTTCCCCAAGTCCTGGCTGGCGTTGGCACTATGGATTGGTTAGTCCCTTACCAATGGTTCCCTCCCTCGTGGTCATCGATTTGGCACCTGCATGACCACCACATTGATGATTGTTTATGGATATCACTACCTTTGCCGTGCTGTATGGCATCAATTGTTCTTGTCCTAGATGCAAGGTTCAGTCGTGCCATCGATGTGGTCGAACAGATCGCCATCTGTGTATAATGAATTAAAAAAAGCAGAGTAAAACATCATCCGACGTCGGTCCAAATGCCGAGCTTTGCGCCTACAGTATGCGACATTTTCGTCCCGTCCCACACCGACCTACAGTATGCACAGCGTTTGTCATAATGTTGCAGCGCCGAAACCTCGCGCACAGGTCCCGCCGGGCGAGACAGATTTGGCTTCGGTGTCCACAGTGGCGGGGAAACCAGCCTCACTTCGGCATCATGAACAGGCCCATGCTGGCAAATTAGTTTGGAGGTCCGCGGTAGGAAGGTCGCCGGTTATGTGCGGCTGCAAGAGGATTCGAGATGGAGCATGTTCTTCGTAAGATTTCGGACTGTGCGTACGAAGGCATTTTGTCACGCAGACATGTACCGTTGAAGTTCTCAACGACGCCCTGGTAAAATGTCCAGTGAGAGTCCGCTGTTCGAGGCGTTCATCGAGGAGATGTGCGGTGTATCAGCGTGGAGAGCACGTGCCGGCGCCCCGATCGGACCTCCGAATGGAAGCACATCATGACTCGCGATGTTGAGCTGTTGTCGCCGATACCTAGTACATCAGCATCTCGTCCGACTGCATTGATGACCATGGAATAGCTTCGCGCATCGTCGCATACACTCATTCAGCATGCAGGCATCTGCATTACTCCTTCGGCGATGCGCTGCCACCACCTCTTGTCCTGCTCGTTTTTACCAACGGCGATGGGCGCAAGTGCACGATGTGCGGTTCTTCGCTGCTCATCAACGGCCGGATAAGGTCCTTGAGAAATACAAAGAGAAGCTCGCTCAAAAGGCAAAGGCAGAGGGTCTTCCCAATGCGGACGAATTGCGTGCTGCATACGCACAAAAAATTGAAGAGTTGCGGAAGCAGGCAATTGTCCCAGGCGCAAATGCTCCGCTCAGCGCTCAGCAACCGCCTTTACCACATGAGACGGACTCCAGTATCCCATATCAACCACCGCCACCCCCATCACCGCAAGAGACGTCGCCCGATACACCGAAAAAGGCCGCAAAGATCAGAACTCTGAGCAGCTTCATCGACATCAAAAAGGTCTCGGCGTTGTCAATGAAGGATATCGAAACCGTCTGGCGTATGCGGCATGCTGCAGATCCACAGAGTCTTTGCGCCTTAGTGGCGGCCGACACGTACCAGCGTGTAGTGAAGACCGCCAAAGCACATCCACAATTCATCCTACCTCTCCCACGAGAGAACCAGGGTGCTGAGATTCACTTCCTTCAATGGACGTTCCCAAATGAAACCACGGCCACGGTCCTCTTCACCCACTTGGCAGAGTTCAAGCTCCGCGGGGAGTATGCTCAGCCACACACGACTATCACCTACCACCGGGATATGGAGAAGAGCAATGGAGTAATTTTCCTAGAGGGACGAGTGACGGAGAATCGAGGAGTTGCTGTGGATGAGGCAAAATGGCTGCTCATGTGTCTCCAGAAGTTCTACGGATTTGAGGCTAAGTCGGAGGGAGCCAAGGCAAACTTTGAGAACCGCCAGCGGTTGATGCGACAGTTTAGCGGCGGTGATGAGAACTTCAAATTAGAAGAGCTTTTGGAAGAGGCAGAGAAGGTGCCGTAGATGACTCTTGTTTATAAATTGACGGTTGTGGGTGTTGGGTCGGAGATTGCAGACTCACCAACTTGCATGGCTCACCTGTACACTAATGAGACATTGTAGATGTATAACTTCATTTCGACGAATATATCATCACGATGATTATCGACGGCAAACGTTCGGCCTTTACGTCAGGCATTCCGTATTGTGCTGGCAAATTGCAAGCATCGGCCCAGCTTTGCCGTGCAGTTCTTTAACAATCATATGCCAAAAGACTATGGAGTGAATAGATTGTAAGATCGACACATTCGATTTTTGTCATATGGTGCCCAAGCCCGATATTCCAACCGTTCCTCTTTCACAAGCTCGGCATTTGGGAAGAAAGCATCGGCTTTATATTTTCATATGTTCCTCAGCTTTCCTCAATCATATCGTTATTCTACCTGTTTGGCACCCTCTTGGTATTCTCATGCCCAGCACAGGCATCGTGACCAATATCTCGAGCATCGCCAACCAATTTTTCATGCTTGCAAAGTGACGGACCATCAACATCAACATCGATTCTCACTTGAGCACTGCCAGTGGAGCAGGTCTAAGAGAATCACATGTCAACAGGCACTCAACAAAGTTTCAGTATCCGCGCTTCGTGACAGATAATCTCCTCTCTTGGTGATCATCAACGTCAGGCTTCCTGGCAACCCACCACTTTCCTTGACAGACTCAACGATATTCGCATCACTTCCAAATAGGCATATCCTTAACAGCGAATCCACACTGGCTTAGTTGTCTTTCATCATTTCTTGCAGTGGCATCATCGATATTCTCAACGATATCAAAAAGTCGCCCTCCAGTGTGAAGCGATGACATGGCCACCGACGAAAACATGACTGATGTGGTATCGAGTGGCCCAAGCACGAGTGTCTTCGGACCGTCACTCGACGAAGCACAGAAAGACGAGAGAGTGACGCAAGACACCGGGATGTCTGAAGTGACTCAGGCGGGCCTACGAACAAATCCGATATCCAACCGAGTGACTTCCTGTGATCTCTCGCCTTCGCCGCGTCAAGGTTTTCCGACCGTGAGAGCAAAGACACCTTGTACCGAAGACAATGCAAAGGAAGGAGCGCAGTCACAACATCCCAAACAGAAACCTGTTGATGATGAACATTCCGAACACCACACTTTCAGCCAAGGCGAATTCAAAGTTCCGTCGATCACATCGACCGTCACCATTCGTGCTCAAACACCTCAATCCAACTCCCAGGATGGCGCAAAGTCAAGGAAAACTCCTACTACCCCGAGCTCTCGAGAGGGCGAGTTCCACACCCCTCGAAGCACAAGCAGCAAGAACAAAACAGGTCCAGCCTCAAACAAACCGCCATCTGCGGAAGACGATGACCTTATCTTTGTGGGCTCATCTCAAAAGAGCTCCCCTGCAAAAACACCTGTGCGACCGGCGAGTGCTATGAGTGCACGTTTCGGAACAGGTATGCCTTCCCGAAGGAGCTCTCAATCGGTCTTGCAAGATGAAGCGCTTCGTACTCCAAGCAAGGTTCCTATGAAACGACCCGCTTCTGCACAGCTTGAATCTGAGACCAGCAAGAAGCAGAAGGCTCCGGTGAGCGAAGATGCGATGCGCACAATCCCGAACACGGTTGAAAGAAAAAAGTCCCTCCAAGCCCAGGTGAGCAGAGATCGTGCTTATAGTGGCACCGCAGAACGAAACCCATCCGCAGGAGAGGACAATTACGAGTACGAGGAAGATGAGGAGGCGACTATGCTCGTCTCGGTGCCCAGAAATTTCGCAAAAGCTGCACATCGCCAAAACGAAAAGCAAAAACAGCGCGTGCATGCAATGGCCGCAGAGATCCAGCGTCTCAACGAAACGATTCAAAAGAAGGATGGAAGTATCGAAGAGAAGAACGAAGACGTCGCTGAACTGGAGGCACGAGCACATAGGGCGGAACACGATTGCATGGCTATGGGCACTCGACTCGCACAATACAGGGAGATTGATGCAGCTTTCTACGACAGATTCGAGAAAAATTGGGAGACCAGGACAAGAGCGCATCTCGAAGCTAGGAATGCCAAAGAGATGAAGAGGATGGAAGAGCGCCTTGATCGAGAGGGCGAAAGGTTACAAGCCAGAGCGGAGAGAACATTGAAAGAAGCTCGTGAGATCAGAGAAAAGAGCAAGGAAATGGTGAGAGACATGAAAGCCAAGTGCGATGCCAGAGTGAAAGACTCGAAACCACAACTCAATCAGATCATCAATAAAAAGGACAGGGACCTACAAGAGGAACTGGAGAAGAGAACGAAGTTGGAAGAGCTAGCCAACGGCCTGTACAATTCGCGCCAGCAATACAAACTGGAGAAGCGAGACCTTGAGAAGGAGCTTTTTGTAATGAGAGAGAAACGCCAAGAGATCGAAGCTGAGAACCGAGACTTGAAGCGAACTCTAGCCACATCGAAACAAAATCTCACCGCAACAAATGAGGTTGTCGGCCTCCAACTGATCAAAACACACAATGCAGAAACCGAGATAGCGGAGTTGAAGAAATTGCTCAAGGCTGTCAACACTGAGCTGGACGATTTGCGAACTGAGCACGAAGAAGCTATTGAGCAGTCGGACCGCCTCCAAGACGAATTAGACGAACTCAAGGAAGAACTTCGCTCTCACAAGGAAATTGCCAAAGAGGGGCCTGATTCATCTCTGCACGACTCTAACAAAGACCTTTCTGCATCTCACCCCGTCGCCAACGAGAAGCTTCCTGCACCTCTTCCCATCGTAAACAAGGAGCCCTTACCATCCCTATCGAACGTCAACAGATTCCCACACTATCGGTCGGCCAGCAATACCGATCAAGATGCTGCCACGGCCCAGGAACCTTTAGCCAAGGAACCTATTATTGAATATCGCATCCCAGAAATCGAAGCTCGAAAGCAATTGAACGAGGAAGGGCAAGACGCAATGAGAGCAGGTTCTCCCAAGGCTGATTGACGGTTGTAATCACTTCTCTCAGAATGACAATTGGTCGCATTGTTTCATTAGTTTTGAAATCATTCTCCCATTTGCCCAAATTGTCAGGAAGCCTCATCCTCATCGACTTTCCTTTTCTCAGCGCCGACTGCGTATTCCGAGAAAAGCAGATAGTGTCCCGCAGAAGAACAAAACAGTACTCTATGCAGTGCACATTACTGTAATGAAAGAGAGTGCATCACTATCTTCTTGGAAGTAAAACAGAACGAGACCGATCAGAATCGCATCTGGAAGGACAGGCGAGCGGAATGTGTTGAATCGATTTTCTGTACTAACGATTACAAACTTGAGAAGAAAATGGAACCTTTTATTTAAGTTCCTTCCATTCATATTCTCTCGCTCTAAACTTTGGAGAGCAGCCTTGCTCTTTGAACTCTCTCGCTCGAGGGAATCTGCGCACCACAAGTGATGTGATCCATGTCGTCGTCGCCTTCTTTCTCGCTCCCGAGGTTACCATCCAATCGCTAACTTGAATCCGCCGATGAAGGAATTGAAAAATTCAAGCCTTCATTTATTTTCACATCGCGTTTCTTTCTCGAAGAATCAAAGCGAGGCGATTGCAGGCTTTGGTTCATCCATACGTGATCCTACTAGTCCGTGTGTGCGTGCTGGAGCCTACGTTTTTCTGATTTTCATTGCGAAACGATCAGTGACGATTGTGATGGATGACGGTGGTTCTGGCTCAAAATGCTGGACCGCATTTCGAAGCGATTGCAGAGATCGACATGGCAACACAGCGACGACTTATCGTTGTCATAAGATCGGAAAGGCGAGTGGCCAAACATCAACACGATCCACGGCGTGGAGACTACCTCGGGTTCTCCGCGCAGAGTTCAATTCTCAGGGCGCAACAGTGATGTTCATAAAAAACAAGATCATATTTATCAAGAAGCGCAGAAGGTAAAGACGTTATCGTGTACATTAAGAAAAACCCGCATGTCAACGCTTGCTTCGTGTACGGCATAAATTCATTCGCTTCGCGGCAAAACTCCCCCATTCCTTTCCCTCTTGTCTTCTGTCTTGCGGGAAGATCCTTTGGCCGTCCCGCAAGCATCCTTTCCAAGCGCTTGCAAGAGAAAATAAAGCGGGCCAGGCAAAGGAAAAGGCCAATCTACCGTTTCCTTTTTTCAAAAAAGCAAACAAGCGCAAAATAATCCAAAGGAGCTTTTTCATCATTCTGTCAATCCAATAAGGGGTGTATCATGGTCGTGTGCGTGTATCGTAAGGCCATGTCGTATTCGTGGTCTTATATATCGTGTCATCATCGTCGTCCATCATCCCGAAGGCCGAAAGTAAAAGAGTCTCCTGTTCCGTGATGTGGAAGAATTACTAGGATCAGGCCAAAGGGCCATCGTCGTTAGAAGCACATAGTGTTCAAAAGCGCAGCTGCCGCCGGCATAGCTCTGTGCGATCGTCTGGCGCTGGTTGCGAGGGTCTCGAGATTGTTTTGGGGGAAGATGGTTGTTGGGGTCGGGTGATTAGAGTTGTTTCGGTCGGGATATCGCGGAGTCGGTGTTGTAGTAGAAGGCTATGCATGTCTTGTAGGGTCCCGAGACAGTGCGAGGATCAAGTAGGTTGTGGTCGGATCGGAGTCAATATTTGAGGAAATCGAGGTGAAGGTCCAGGAGTCGAGGAAGATTTAGTGGCGGCGGATATTGTGGCAGTGTAAAGTATAGTGTTCGGGTCGTAGGTCAAAGTCCAGGCGATGGTGTCTCAGAATGGCAAGCATAGCATATGAAGAGGAGTGGAGAAGACGAGACTCTCATCTTCGTCTTCTCCTATCCACCGCGACGCCTTCCAAGAAGGCTCATGCGCAGCTTAGACCATATCGACATCAGTCCTTTCGCTATGCGAAGTCGCTGGACGGCTAGCGCTGCGGACCTTCTCTCCCCTTGCCCGACGTGCATGACGCTCTTTGCGCGCCTGCAATCGTGCATGGTCAGAGTCCTGGTCCGGGTTGGCAGTCTCGTATTCCAAAAGCTTGATGAATTTGTAGAAGCCAGCAGCAATGAGGGAGCCAAGGGCGGGACCGAGCCAGTAGACTTTAGTTATTTGTCAACATGGTGGCAGGTCGCGGAAGAGATACAGGATGACTTACTCCAGTGGTAGCTGGGGAAACTGTGGTTGACAACGGCGGGGCCAAATGAACGTGCGGGATTAAGAGAGCCTGCAGAAAGGATGTGTCAGTATCGGTGCAGAAATGGAATTTCGCCGTTCGTCCCAGGTAGTGCACAAAGTGCTACGAGGCGGATAGAGACACAGGTCGCCGAGCAGAAGACTCACCTCCAGTGAAGTAGACACCGACCAATTCAGCCACGAACAGAGCCAAACCAATACCGACTGGGGCGATATAGGTACCCTTGTGCTTCTCTGCCGCCAACATGAAAATTGCAAAGACCAGGACGCCAGTCAGGATCATTTCGATGAAAAGGCCCTGCACGACGGAAGTGCCGCCACCCAACGTGGTCTCGACAGTTGTCGTTCCCGGAAACATACAGCTGACCAACGCCGCTGCCACCAGCCCACCAAGGATCTGAACAACGAACAACAAGGCGCCTCGAGTCCAGGAAACCGCGCCAATGATACACATGCCGAGGGTAACAGCCGGGTTAAAGAGACCACCAGAGATACGAAAGAAGACCCATGCGTTGACCGCCAAGCTGAAACCGAAGCATAGAGCAATGTACTGAAGTTGTTGCGGGTTGGAACCCGTCTGCTCGACGGTCAAACCGGACGACGAGGGAATGTTGTTGGCGACCTGAGTGCCGCCGAGGGCGATGTAGAGAAAGAGTACGGTGCCGACGAATTCACCGGATGCGGCAACGACACCGGCACGGTAGGCATCGGGAATCTTGCGGAGGCTGTGGATGTGGATGTGTTTACCGTCATCGACGGCTTGTTGCTGCGTAGCATCGAAAATGGAGACGTTAGCAACCGCCATGGCGAAGGGTGATGTCGGCGATAACGAGAGGTAAGAGGAGTGAAGAGTGGTTGTGAAGCTGGACTTCACAAAGGAGATAATAGGAAATGGTCGAGTGAGACTCGTCGCGAGGTTATGCTCCAGTTGGAGATCTTACGGCAAAGCATCACGACAAAGCAAGTGACGACGACGAGGATCACAGCGAGTGTCGCCGTGACAAGTTGGTGGCGAAAAGTGAAGAAAGATACATACATTGATATTCATCTTGCAGGTGCAGTGTGGCTTGCTCGCCTATTGTTGCTGCCGTGAATGCTGGTTTCGTGTTACTGTACCACAATGCTTGGTAGGGATGCACCCAAGGAAAGGGCGACCAGGTTTCTTGATGTCAGGTGAGAGATAGCTGCGGTTGGGGTGTGCAGCAATGGGAGGATTGAGGAGAACTCCAATCCAGCGAAATGTATTGTGGAAGGAGGATGGCAGCGAAGAGGTGCAGGAAGGCGGCATGGGAAACATATGTACTATAGTCAGGTAACGATACATATGGTGTGGCCTGGACGTGCCAACGAACAGGGCAGCAGTAAGATCAAGGAGGACATCGACGTCAACGGCGACTTGCCCTTGATTGGTGGTGTCGTATCACAATTCGTGTGCGACGGAATGAACAGCCACATTCAGCACCATTCCCCATGAAGAGCGAGGGAACCTTGGAAAGCAGCAATCCTTGCCGAAGCAGATGGGAGGTAGCCATGATGGTCCAAGATTGTTGTTCAGTCAGATCCGAATGACCAGTGAAATGCCCTCGAGGCACTCAAATTGGCTGCAAGCAAAGAAGCACCCCAGGAGTAGCGTGAATTTTAGCTAGCTCAAGCGTCCGGAGCCGGTACCGAACAGCGCAAACAAGAACGCGTCGGAGAAGACAAGCGATTGTGCGCGGATCTGAAGATGACGTCGGCGTGTTTACTTTTGGAGACTGTATTCGTCACGATCTGGTCGACAGAAATGTGTATTTAGCATTTACGTGAGTGTATGCACCCGCCAAGATGGACCGAGATGAATGCTACACCCGTATGAGCTGCACAGGTGTGCCGGCGTGGACGGTGTTGCGATCATGAGTATCGCGCGTTTCTGCCGCAATCTGATCGTGATCTCGTCGTACCTTTCCTTGCACAAAGCATTGTACTTGTTCGGGCATAACGTTTACGAAGCTCCGATCATCGACTGTTGGTTTCATTCGGAGGGACGACATCCGCGCATAGCGCAGAGACTACAAAGGCCATTCCGTACTCGACTGGTCCGGACCATTGGTGGGCTGATGAGGTAGTCTTAAACCTTCATGCAAAGGTCGCGGTCGGTGTGATTGCCTAATGGGAAGGGAAGGAGCAATGGGAAAGAGAAGGTAGGTGAGAACGCTGCGACTCCAGGGAAGAATGTTCGAAATGGAAGGGATACCCTTCGCTCGTGGAAGCAACAATCTGTCGACTGCTTACTTCTCATGCATTGTGATGGGTTGATCTGTCCATGATACACTGAAAGATACACTGAAAGTTGGTCAAGTAGTCGGGAAGAGGAGATGAGGTCCTCAGAAAGTTGGTCAATAGAGTTATGTCATCATCAACCGGGCCCATGCACGTGGGGCGTAATGTGGCGCATGGTGGCTGTCCATAGGCTGAACGATGAGAATGTCCCGAGGTGATCTCTTCCATCATAACCACATCCATCCACATTCCTGAGAAATTATTGTTCTAATTCCGCGCGCGTACGATGCGGTAATTATCTTCGGGGCGGGCTTAGATCGGGATCGAGATGGAAGCTTTTGATGGGATGATGGAGCAGTCCAGCGATTACCCAGCACGCGCTCAGCTGTGTCGCCCGGTGATAGGGATGCATTTAAGCATCTATGGTAGCAGTCACGTCGCAATCATGTAATGATCGTTCGTGCAGTTTCTGTAGATGAGAGGGTTTTTGTTTGGACTTGCACATATTCACCAGGTGAGGTCAGGACCAAACGATTACACGGTTATACGGTTTCGTCGGTGCACCGCCGCCGACGATGACAGTGGAAATCCGAGCCGAGACATGTCGGCATCGGAAGGGTTCCAAGGTTACCTAGGTATTCGAGCAAACACGTTCGGAATTGATAAGCGAAGAACGATGGCGGACTCGGACATCGTTTCAGTCTCGGAACGCAACCAAGGTACGTCCATCACAATGTAAGTCCTGACGACGTCGATTTGAGCAAAAATTTCGATATGCCGCTCAATGAATTCTGTTAGTCGATGACCAGATGATAGTGGACGTCACAGGAGACATGTGCGCGTTTGCACACAGCGCGCACATCACCTCTACTTAAGAAAGATCAACATACCTGTAGACGATCGATGACAGCATGTAATATGGTGAGTCAACATGGCCATGCAATGGTGTGTTCGCAACTCCGCCGGAGGATCATGCGTGTGTGCATGACGGAGACGGGCATCTCCACCGACGTCATTGCTTGGGGGAAAGGCAAGATATTTTCCTACAGCACTACGGCATACAGCTGGGTGGACAAGACATCAGAACTTCCATGGATACCATAACCATCATCATACGGAGGTGACAGTAGCAGGGAAAGGTTTCCCGCCGTTTTACGTTGTTGTCTCGACGGGAAGTTCTCGGTCGGTCTATCACTTCCGAACTCTCGCTGAGGTTGCCACAGGTGCTACGGTATCTGTTTGTCGAGGCCAATGATGTCTAAAGTGAACCTCTATCCAGAGAGTGTGTGTCTTTGTATTTATCATGTTGTGGGAAGAGAACAAAGTCCTGCGAGTATATTGTCATCAGCATTTAAATCTTCGACCAGATTTGTGCCCGGCGAACAGCACCTATGTAACTGCTCGCGGTCAATAGTCGAGGAGGGACTGAGTGTTGTCTTGACCCCTCGTATCGTGTCGTCGTAAAATGCAACCCAGATCTCATCGCAAGACGTTCACAGGCAGAAGAGAGACGGGAGTGATCACAACCTAATCCGTCTCTTACTCTCGTTTTCGGCCCTTGCTGGCGCGCGTCGATGAAGTTGCCGCACAGCAGATATCAGCGTTCCGGAGGGACGTGGCGCAGTAATGAAGTCGTTCCATGCGGGCGCAAAGGACGTGTAATTTACTGGTCTCTTGCGACATTGCAGGTGGCTGACGATATATGCAAATGGGCAGCTTTTGCAGCAAGCCAGCCGCCCGGACAGCCAGGTTGAGCGCGTGGCTCACGCCAACCATCAGCCATCGGCCGTCAGCCATCATCAGCCACAAGATCTGTCTACCTGCGCGCTCGAAGCATGTTAACATTGGCGATGTCGATCGTCAGTTCAACAATGACCCATTGATGATTTCGACAAGCGCAGAAAATGAGCTTAGGAAATAGCATGCCACTGGGAGATAATTGGCCGATCCATCATGGCTTGATGCTGACCGTCCTCCGCGCGCGAAGTCAAAGCGGCGACAATGTCAGCGATGCCTTGAAGACCACGACACGCATACAACGTGTTGCCAACCAAATCAGCGTGAGCAACGCAGTGCCGTACATGGATAACGTTGTCCTGCCTGCCTGTTGATGACGCTTCCTGCGATGGCATTCTGCGCCCATTGAACACTTAATTGTAAATTCCATATGTGAATTTGATCTTCAAGATCATAACCAGGTATTCCTAGACCATCAATCCTAAACCCTCTGCGACATTTCATCATCCAAGCATGACAACCACTGCCGTCTTCGGCTGCACGGGGGCCGTGGGGAGCCATATCCTGACGACGCTTCTTGGGGACAGCATCTTTGGACCGATCAAAACCATTTCCCGACGTCTCCCGAAACAGGAATCTCCAAAATTGGAAGCGACTCAAGAGACCGATACCTCTAAATGGAGCGGCATGATCGCAGCATTGAATCCCAAGCCGACAGTGATATTCAACGCCGTTGGCACCACCCGCGCGCAGGCCGGCAGTCTCGCAGAGCAGTGGAAGATCGACCACGACCTCTGCGTGGAAAACATCAAAGCCGCCAAACAGGCCGGAGTGAAGACTTATTTATACATTTCGGGTGGCGGGACCCGCGGTCTTCTCAGCCGATATGTGCCCTACAGCCAGATGAAAATCGGCGTCGAAGATGCCATCAGAGAAGCCGGCTTCGAGCACGGAATTGTCTTGCGACCGGGGATGATCATCGGCAATCGAGAGCAACCGAAATCCATCTTCCTCGAGACTTTCATTGGAAATTTGCATCGCATCAGCCTAGCGCTGCAGGATATGATAGGTAATTGGAGTTTTCCTCACGGCCGCTTTGGCGTGCGCGGAAGGAAAGGCTGACATCGGCGCGTTCTGCCAGGTCAAGATCAGGTCGTCATTGGACGAGCTGCGGTTGCTGCGGTGCGTCTTGCACAAGAAGGTAAAGCACCCAAGGGCTACTGGGCGCTTGAGCAGGCGGATATCGTCAAACACGGCCGAGATGAATGGAAGCAGTGAAGATGAACTCTCCGACACAATTGAATGAGCAAGCTTAGAATCAGATGCGTAAACCTCTTTGTATTCACGACCATGAAGTACCAATGTAAGATAGCTGAGATCTATGATTCTTTTTGTTTTATCTTCAATCTAATCAAGATCGTTCCGGGAGCTGTTAGTCTCAATCCTTGCCAGCGAACAAGACATGTATTTGTGTGTCACTCTCGATCATGAGCCGGCAGGGAGATGGCGTCTTTTAAACGCCATGGTAGAGAGTACAATATGAGCTCGGCATAACATGTTTCGTCGTTGGCCCAATAGAATTCAAATCGAGAGCAAACAATAACGGGGAGACTTCCTCGGGGTTCATTACATTCTTAATTACATTCTTTACGAGATACACAAAAGTGTACACTGCCTTCTCTCTCTCCCTCTCTTCTCTCTGCCTGCTTCAAAGGACTTGATGAAGCAAATCAAATCCATTGATGAACCGATCATGTCGCAGCAAAGTCTGTCAGTCTCTGATTCTCTCGACAACCGTGCCTAGTCCAAAGATGGACGATCTTCGCCTCGGTCACCGTCTTTCCAACTCACACCGCGGATTGGATCACGTGGCGCAGACTCTGCTGGTCGATCGAATCGTACCAATCAGATTACATCCACATCCAGTACGTTTGAGATCCACCGCAGAGAAGCTGCTCTTCAGCAAGCAACCAATCTCCCACAAGATTTATCCCCTCGTCCTCCTCCTCCTTCTGCATCGTCGCAGTCATTATCTTCGCCTCCGACTAAGTATCAAGTCCTCGGTGTATCCATAGATCGCGTCCAGATCACGCATAGCACTTGCATCCTTCAACAGCCGGGCCACTTGTAACCCCGCGCTGATGATTTGAAGAAGATTCCGATCATCTCTGGGTGCTGATGACGATCTCGCGTTGCCGAAGTTTGACATATCCTCGTAGTCACCATCGCCTTGAGCTCCATGCTGCTGATGCGGTGATTGTTGCTGCTGCTGCTGATGGGACATTTGGACCACATCATTGCTCCCGATGAGACTGCTTTCTAGCACTGAGACCATTGAGCCAATCTGTTCACCATACAATACCCGTGCTGGAATCCTTCGCTTCGTAGCCAGACGTTTGAGGAGGTGCGCCCACCAGGACCAAGTCCGATCTTCCGGGCGAGAAATCTGCGGGAGATGCTCTTGCGGCGTGAAGGAAGAGCTCGAGGGGACATGAGCGGCCCGCCGGAGATCCTCCTGACGAGGATGTGGTGGGTTGCTATGGTGAGTATTGTCGGGGATGGGATCGGCGGGGATGGCGAATTTGTAGAAGGCGAGGAAGTCGAAGGCGCAGCGGCAGAGGCGTTGGTGGACCTTTTGGAGGATCTCTTGCTGCTCGGGACGGGTGAGGGAGGTGGGTAGCTGCGGTAGTGAGGCTTCTGTCGGCTCGGTACTGGTTGGGTGAGAGGATACAGGGAGGAAATAATGATGGCCTTGGAATTCGTCGCGGTTCGAAGGACGTCGGGTCTGGTGTTGGCTTCCCCGAGATCGTGGTGGTTGTAACGATAATATTGGCGGAGCTGTCGCTTGATATGGAGACTGAAAGTACTGGTTCTGTTGTTGCTGTTGCTGAACCTGATACTGTTGCTGTTCTAATCGTTGCTGCTGGTTTTGTTGTTGTTGTTGTTGTTGTTGTTGTTGTTGTTGTTGCGCAAGCTGTAATTGTTGGAGGTAGAGACTCGATGAAGGATGACCCAAGTCTTGACTATTAGTATGTTGACGTCGGTGCTGTCTTGGATGATTCAAATCGCGAAGAGGTGCCTGATTTTGACTTGAATTATAACTATTACTACTCGTATTGCTGTTACTCCCTTGCCGTGCTGAGTCGCCGAGCCAGTATTGATTCGGTGGTGAGATGCCTTCCTGTTCCTCTGCGGGAAAAAGACTGGTCGAGAGGTGTGAGTGATGTGAACGCTGCGGACTTGATGTCATGCCATGAGCGAACGTGGAAGGACTCTGCTGCAGGGGCCGTATGTTTGGGGATCTTAGATCTGTGTTCCAAAACGACTGTGGTCTTGATTCCTCGGGCATGATACGCTGTTGTGTCTGCAACTTATGCCTGGGGAATATTTCGGGAGACTGTTGAGAGGTTTGAGAGAGACGCTGGGCCAATGCAAGTGGTCGGGATGATCTACTTGTGTTACCGTCGTCGAGCTTGGATGATGAAGTATAAGTCCAAGTATCCTCAGTCGGAGATCTTAATGTAACGATTCGAGTTAGATGGAGATTGCTCGCATTTGGCCGGATTTGCTACCACAATGAACATACTGGCCAATAGATCGGTCGTGATTCCGCCGCACAAGGTCTGCAGGAGACGCCAGCGTTCCGAGCAGACTATGCCTAGCCGCCAGCGTTTGTGAAGTCCATTCCGAAGGCATCCCTGTCCAATTATCGCCGGAACGCGAAGATGCCATGACGTGGTACCGAAGAGGATTCCAGCAAAGAAGACTATCGGAAAGAGAAATCACCGCTGCGCTGTGAAGATGAAAGCAGCAAACGAGAGAGATCAACGCGAATTGCCCAATCCAGCCCAACCACAGCCATGGCTTTTACTCCGTACGAATGATATCAATGACCATCGATGCCTGAATGGCGAACCTTCACACTAAACGAAAACAGCTTTAAACGCTCAAAGGTGTACGCAAAACAGAGCAAGTCGCAAAGATAAACCAGGACAACGAGAGAAAGGAAACGCACACGCACTGTGCTTTAGTAGTCCCTTACGTATGCTTACGGTGGCGTCCACTTCGGAGACTGTCATCATGGTGATCACGCTGTGCACAATTTCACTGATTCGCCGGAGCAAACGATGACAGACAGGCCTAGGCAGAAGTCTTCGCAAGTGTGAGATCTGTGCGAACCTGATGCTCGAAGGATTCTGCTGTGTGATTCGCGGAGGACGACGGGTCCGCGCCTGGGCCCCAGTGATGAGGTTGGCATCTGATGAATTTTGCCTGTGCGCTCTCATCCGTTGGCCCCAGTGACCTAACTGCCGGGCTGTGTGCGGACCAGTTGGCAACCCTGCCGTGCCTGCCGATGCATGATCACCTATGGCCCGCGAGCCTATACCGATAAGAGGCTCGAGGTGGCCGTTGAGGGAATGACCCGGGTGTCTGGCTGTGGTCTACAGTGCAATGTGTTGGAAGTGCAGGCCAGCATAGGCTTCCACTTCGGATGAGAGATTGCGTCTGGGAATTCCGGTACTGTACGTCGCACAGTAAGCTGACAGCGTTCACGATGTTATCCTCCTTCTGATGAGTCAGAATGAGTCCGGATGCCAAATTCCAGAGTAGCAGCCATGCACGGCTCGTCACATGATGAAGACTTTTGCTTAAGATTTTCTTCTTGGTTGGGCAGATCGAGAGCGTTGGGAGGGAGTGTGCCGGGAGGGGAAACTCCAAGGCCGTGGTGCAGACCGCCTCCGTGGCACCGACACCGCCTATGCAAAGTTCAGAGATCCTGGGAACTTGTGTGCCGTCACAAGCGATTATGTCATAAGCAAATCATGATTGTGATGTGCATGGATAACCAGGTAGCTTTTCCCTCTCCATAGAGTTTCGTGAAGGGCGACAGTACCTGTCCGCGGACAGTGTGTAACGGGTAGGCGCCGGAATGTGACATCGAGCAAAATAAGCTTGGACCTTGGCACTTGTCCGTCTTCAAGAATCCTCGAATGAAGCGAGGAGCCAATCGACGCTTGGGCGCTGACCGGCGAAGTGCCTACACGGAGACGGAGATATTTATGCCGGGGAGTTCGGCAGTGCCACGTGGCGCTCGTTCTGGTCTTCGCGACAATGGAGCATACTCCAGCACCCACGCGCGATGCATGTGCCAAAGAGACGCATTCTCGGGTGATGATGTCGTTCTGTGCTTCCTGTCAGGATCGGTCAAATATTCTTCATGATAAAGCAGATGATTTGGTTGTCGCGTTTAGCGGAGAATAGGAATTTCTTAGTGGGAACGGAAGTGATGGAATGACTGGGCAAATTTCGGCCAGAGCCAGTAGCGGTTTGTCCCACGTCTTTTGTACTTCGTGTACATATCTACGTATCGTCCCAGCGAACATTGGCTTTCGGCAGCGCACAGGCACACTCGAACTATCCCGATACATCATGAATGGTTGTTGGCGACCTTTTCTTTGTCCGGTGTTCCGGAGATCATTCTGCTGCGGACAGGTAGACAGTGCGCACTTTGTCTCTTCGCCGATGGTCTCCTACCACACTGATCTCTGGATCCAATATCACCTCGACCTCGATTAAAGAGATGCTATCGCGTAATCGTGACATTGCGACAAATCGGATTGAGGTAGGCCAATCGTCTTGAAACCGGGAAAATCAAAATACATACACTTCAGTATGTGACACATGAATAGTCAACGCTATGGGCGTCACAGCATCTAGAGTCTCCAACATGTAGCGACATGATAATGCCGAAAGTATGATATTGTTGACAGTGTCACGCATTTGAATGTTCAGATAGAATAAATTTCAAATTTGTACTCTGGCCACGATTGGATCGCAACATAGCTATTATACAAGCAAGAACGCTCCGAATGAAGAAGCAGCGCGCCACGCTCCCCAGAAAAACTTATCATCTCATCATGAAAAAGACAACCGTCCCAATGCACCCGAGTTCCAATCCAAGCCACCTCTACTTGAGGATATACTATCTCAAAATGCCGTATATGCGTTGGCGAAACAGTTCTACGCGCGGCCGTTAGGACCCATGTGCGCGGGCGAGTAGTACTCGACATTGGCGGCATGTTTCGCGCCGCCGTGGTAAGCAGTCGAGCCATCGTAGGCGGTCCTCATCTCGCCGGGGACAGAGTATGAGCCACGGGCGCCAGCATGTCCTTTACGGACGCGATGCAGGATGATAGAGGCGTAGATGAGTTTTGCGAGGTATACGGCACTGTGAGGAGAAAAGGATCGAGGTTAGTGAATGTTCATACCCAGCCAAGGATTGTAGACTCCGGATTGAGGAAAGACTTACAATAGCAGGACGGGCCAGATCAATCCGACGCTCAAGCTGTAGTACGCTGACCATGCGCTGAAACCCACGATGACGATCCAAACTAGCACGGCGATGGAATTGAGGACGACGAGCAGCACTGGACTGAGCTTTCTGCGCGCGAATTGAACCGTCTCCAGGGCAGAGAACAGAACGCCCATGCCCGCGATGCCAATGAAGATTCCCAGGTAAATACTAAGAAGAACCGTACGGTTAGTATGGTATGATCGAGCGCCTACAAGCCCTTCACTGAGAAATGGGCAGGGATTGCGTTAACTCACTATGACCACTTTTGAAATGCTTTCAGGGATTCTTCACTTGTACCCGAGTATTTGATGTCGTGATCCCGGTACGCGTCTTCGAGCTCTTTCGCGCTTAAGGTGCGGACGGCATTGAGGACGATGCTCCCAAAGACGATGTAGAGTGCATTGAGGAGTAGCTGGGCAACCCAGAGGGGTACCAAGACGCGCTTCAACCAGAGATCGGCGAACATCTTGATGATGGTGTTGTGTGATTTAGTGATGGAGGAGGCTTGATGGAGTACGGGATTGGTATTGGTAGAGATCGTACACAACAAGTAGGATGTCAATGTCGAAGCACCAAAATTGGATGTACAAAGGATGAATGTTCTACAGACAGGAAGGACTCGAGTGGCTATCTATGTATTTCCCACATCCTCCACCAACATCCCGTCCGTCCAGCCGACCATCACATATCGTCGCTGTGTGGTTAATCTGGTACGGCGCGCAATGGCCGAGCGGGTTGTTGGTGAGGGAAATTAGGATTGCGGTACTGTGGCACTGCCCAAGATCTATGTCTGTCTGCGGCGCAGCAGTCCAGTAAATCCAGTCACCGCAGCATTTCGCCCTGGACCGGCGCGTGGACGTGCTGTTTTTACTCGGACGGCACGGCGGGCCCGACCGGACTAGCCATTGCGGCACGAATTCCACTCATGTGATTGGCGTTGGGCGACCCCCCGCTGTCTCATCTTCGGATATTTATAGAGGCGGCTTGCGGCCGCGTGTTTGATGCCTTGGCTGGGGAAACCTTATATCGCAACAGAGATCAAATTTAGAGACCGGACGCGTGATAATTTGGGCTGTTACATGTAGAACGCGTCGTTTGCTACTTCGATCGCTGCGCGGAATTGCGGGCAGTGCTTCGCTTTGGTGGCATTATCTTTTCAAGAGTCGAGCCTGGGCTAAGCAAAGGTCATCCCAAGGTTGGAGACGGGTCGTGGTTGCCATGCACCAGGCCCGTTGTACCAAAGACGTCAATCAGGGTGCAAAGAACTCTTGATCTACAGTAGGTTGCCCTGTGATGCATGCAGTCACGTAGTCCCTGTTCATCGTACACCAGCCACATCAGCGTGCTTTGAGACATGATCCCGCCTGGAGACCAGGCCAGATCGAGGTCGCTTTGAAACGGCGTCGGGATGATGAATTCGCAGCCAGAGGGTGTTCGACGCGACGGAGCTCATCAGGAATCATCTTACGCTATGCTCATCCAGATGGCGAACGTCGTGAGAGAATTTCGAAGCCATGCTCCTGTACGTATAATGCCTAGGTTGGCTTTCTTGTGACCGCGAAGCATCGACGGCAACGTGGATGATGACAGAACCAAGAAGCATTGCGCGGCAGATATTCGTGGACCACCTGGACGACGAAGCCCAAGGACATGTGATCAAAATAATAATTAGACGAGAACGCTATCAAAGTCGACGGTTTGTGCTTGCGCCTGGCACGGCCATGAGAGCACGTTTCTATTGAAATCCTCGCAAGCTTTGTTCAATTGCAGAGCTATACTCCGAGTCGCGCATCTGAGAGCTCCATGATCTGGGATTCTTCTCGATAAGTCCACTCAATGTGAGAAAAACATGTTACGCTTCAAGTATTTCGGTGCATCGCGGGATCGACACGGCATCGGAATATCATCACGGGCGCCCTGGCCCTTTGACTTCTAGCCATAGAGCGAATAGGCCTTCTAGATCGATCAGTTGAGTGTTTGAGGTGATCATGCTGCAGTGACAGAATATTATGTTTATGGTGAGATAGACACATCAGTATACAAGGATGAGAATCGTCCATCTTGGCGCTCAGCTGCTGCTGCATTGATCAATCCGACAGTTGGGCGAAAGGATTTTCAGGGTCCCATGGCTCCGATGCTGACGTACATGCTTCGATAACACCTGCACACGGTAGGTACGCTCATTGGCTACAGTTGGAAAAAATAACGGCGTTCAACGAATTGAATTATTTAGGCACGCTCGTTATGTTCAGTGTCTTCTCCAAGCATACAGTTTAGATGTTGCGCCTCTGACATTGTTGCGAGTCGCTCCCTAAAGAAACCAGTTCTGGAGCTCCGCAAGCTACACGCAGCATTAGCCTATTAAGCTGCAACTCAATCGTAGCTGGATATCATCGGTCAAGTCATCCTCGACCGGCGACAAGATTTGACTACATAACTTTGACCGCTCGGTCGCCATAGTATGGCCAACAACAAGAAGAAGAAGAGTACCTCGCCAGTGCGAGAGAAGGCCGATAAGAAGAAGCAAGCTCTAAGACTAGTCGAAGAATATGTATCAGATTCGGACATTGTCGACGAGGTCCCTTTCAAGCCTCCACCGGAAGAGCCTAGCATCGTGCGTAAGCTGATGCTACTCGGCGGCATGCTCATTGCCATCAGTGGTTTCTTCTACGGCTGGCCTGATCCAACGTACTTGCTAAGACCGCGATTGACGGGCGCGGACAAACTCCTCGCAGAAAATCCATTGATCGATGGCCACAATGATCTCCTCATCCTCATTCGCGAGAAATACAACAACAAGATCTATGAACGTAATTTCACGACCGCATTGGAGAAAGGTGGTCTGACAGGCCAATTCGACTTTCCACGCGCCGACCGCGGACGACTCGGCGGTGCTTTCTGGTCTGCCTTCGTCCCCTGTCCCGCCGATGGTCTCGATTTCTCCGACGAAGCCTACGCACCGTTCGTCCGAGCCACCCTCGACCAGCTCGACCTCTTCCACCGCCTGTCCGCCAAATATCCCAAGTACTTCACCCTCGCGCTCAGTGCCAAAGAAGCCCTCTACAACTTCCACGTCGACCACAAACTCATCAGCCCCCTCGCCATCGAGGGCCTGCACCAAATCGGCAACTCCATCTCCACCCTCCGCCACTACCACCGTCTCGGCGTCCGCTACGCCACCCTCAACTGGAACTGCCACACCCGCTACTCCGACGCCGCCGTCATCACCAAGGCCTCCCGCGCCATCCGCGCCCCGCCCTACTGGGGCGGCGTCAGCCCCGCCGGCCGCCTCGTCATCCAAGAAATGAACCGTCTCGGCATGATCGTCGACCTCTCGCACGTCTCCGCCGACACGATGCGGGACGTGCTAGGTGGGAACCTGGTCGCGACCAACTGGACGGGGAGCCTCGCGCCGCCGATTTTCTCCCACTCGAGCGCCTACGCGCTCTGCCCGCACCCGCGCAACGTCCCCGACGACGTCCTCGATCTGGTCAAGGCGCGCAACAGCCTGGTGATGGTGAACTTCGCGCCGGATTTCATCAGCTGTAAGACGCGCCGGCCGGACGATCCGGACTTCGACACGGGAATGCCGGAGTATGTGGAGGCGGATTCCACGCTGGCGCAGGTTGCGGCGCATATCCTGCACATCGGCCGGAGGATTGGGTTCGATCATGTGGGCATCGGGAGCGATTATGACGGAATCCCTACGACGCCGAGAGGCTTAGAGGATGTTGGGCGGTTCCCGGCGCTCTTTGATTATTTGCTTGCTGAGGGCGTGAGTGTAAGGGATGCGGCGAAGGTCGCGGGAGGGAATTTGCTGCGGGTGTGGCAGGAGGTAGACGATGTGGCGAAACGTTTGCAGAGAACGATGGACCCCCTGGAGGATGACTTGCCGAGGCGGATCGCTGAGATTGATGTCGCCGGCATCACGGAGGTTGAGGACCATGTAGATGGGAGTGTGAGGGAGCTCTGAGTGTCATCTTTGTGGGAAGTACTATGAATTTTGCTGTCACCTGAATATGGAAAATATTGAAAATTCGATCATGCCTGCTTCATTCATCCGCATCCTTTATGACGCAAATGATTTCTCCGTCCCTCAACGCGATGCCATCTTGCAATGCAGGTTTTCCTTCGTGCCCAGATTTCGGGATACTGATCGACTGAAACCACCCATATGCATACACGCCGCACCAAAAGCTATGTGGAGACGAATCTCAACTAATAAGAAAGACAAATACAAGGAAGGCCGTTGAAAGGGGGCAAGAAAATAGTTTTTCATGTTGAAATTTGTACAAAGGCGGCAGGGAACGCCAACCTATGGGTAGGCCACCTCGTGATATCGGTGTTGAGCCCTGGAGGGACATGGGGTATTAAAAAAATGGCCCTCCTTTGCGTTTCATCTTCGCTCGTCGTTTGAGGGGGGCTAATTTAGGAAACCCTTGCAGTTGGCTGAGCCGCAGAGACAAGGGATACGATCGGTTGAGCCGTATTCACGCTCGAATTTGTAGTCGTAGGTGAGTTCGTCGTCTGTAGGAGCGCGGACAAGTCAGCATGAGATCTAACATGAAGAATTTGTGGCACGCGGGTTTTCGTACACCCCAGCACGCATGAGCCGGTCAGTGTAAGAAGGGGAAAGGGGAAACTTACTCTTGCCAATGTCCTTCATGGCATAAATGACGATTCTCGGCGTGCCCTCGACTTTGATGATCTTGGCGGTACAATTCGGATTACAAGAATGATTGATGAAGCGTGCAATACCGCCCTTCTTGGTCGCGTCAACGATCTCGTCATCCAACATGCGGAATAGGTATGACGAGCCAACGCCCTGCTTCTCATACTTGATTTCGCGCATGTCGGCGACTTTCTGGCGCACAAGCTCGCCGACATATTCAATGATGAGATCGTTGATGGCGATGTTCTCCTCGGCGTAAAGACCCCAACCGTGAATGGCGGATCGATCGAATTTGACGAGCTTTTTGCGCTTCTTGAGCTGGTTAAAGCGGATAGCGACATCGGCATCGCTGTTGTTGCTCGAAGCGGCGAGAGTTTGCTTTTGAAGGTTGATATCATTGACCAAGCGACGGTTATTGACACGATTACTTCGAGAAGTGGCTTTACTGACGATCTTTTCCGCTGCGGCGATTTTGGCGGCTTCGATAGCAGCAGAGGGGTTGGCTTTGGCGAGGGCTTGTCGTTCTTCGCGAGCTTTCTGGACTTTGATGCGATGCGGGAGGTATTTGGACTTTTCCTCGTTGAGAATTTTCTTGTAGCCCTCGGTTCGAGCACAGCCGCTGGCATTGGGGACGTAATAGCCCTGGATCAACGTGTCGGATTGTAGACCGGATGGAGTCTCCACACTGTTCATCTGCTTGATCTCTTTCTGCCGCCAAGCCCATAGTTTAACGTCACCGAGATCCGATGCAGCCTCTTCAGCCAGCGCCAGCTTCGCAAATTGCATATCCTCGTCATCCTTGAGATAGTCTTGCCAGCCATCGATGTCCAAGGGTTTGGTGAGCTCTTCCTCGACTGTCCGTCTTGGTTTGTCATACGTCAGTCGTAAATCGATGTCCTTCTCGGGTTCCAATTCCTCCATCGCCTCCAATTCGATCTCTTTTTCCTCGATCTCGATGCTGATCTCGGGCGGTACGGACTCGCTTGCGGCTTTTGCTTCCTCTGCTTCTGCTTTGAGGGCTTCCTGCTCTTCGAGGATTTGCTTTTTAGTCTTCCTCTTCTTCTTGACCTTCTCTTTGGCGGCTTTGGCGTCCAGCGCTGTAGCAGCCGCCTCTCCGGGCTTACTGGCATCTTTCTTCGTAGCCAGCGCAACGTCGAAGAGATCATCGTCGGCTTTGGATCTTTGTCGAATGAACAGCTCCGTCCGAGCGCGCGTGGCGTATTTGGAGGTGCGTGGTAGGGTATTAACCACCAGTTCCAGCTCACGGGTCGCGAGATCTTCGGGCTCCTTGGATAGCAAATGACCCAGCATGTCCTGCTGGAACTTGTCGAAATGCTCCTTGTCCTCTTCGTCCCACTCGTTGAGCTTCCGTCGCTTGTTCTGTGGAGTTTCTGCAGCAGACTCTGAATCGAATGGCGTAGAGGTACGACTGGCACGGCTAAGTGGCCGGCTTTCCTGTTCCTCAGTATCTCGAGTGATGGATGTCCGCTGCTCGTCATCGTCCGAGTCCTCTTCTTCCTCCTCTTCATACATCTGCTGTAGCCGAAAGTGCAATCCACGAGCATGGGTCGGTCTCGGCGCCGGTTTCCGTCTTCTCTCATCCGCAAATGCATTCATCGGGCCCTTGTTGCGCTCGCCCTTCCTTCCACGCTGTTGATTGGGGTCATGCGGCCGAAGCGGTTTCGAGTGCGAGCCATGTCGGCCCTTGTGGGGTGACATGTCACCCGCGCTTCCAAAAAGAAGCCCTCGCGATTTGTTCTCCATTTCTGATGGATCGGGAAGACCCAATTTCCGTCGCTTCGCAGCATGCTTTGACGGCTCCAGACCTTCGTGAAAAATGGGAATGGCGATCCTTGCCTTGGCATCGCTCATGATCTTGTCGCGCAACTCCGCGCGCAGTTGTTCTAAAGCACCAAGAACAGGATCCAGATTGGCGGCTCGATTCTGCTTCTCGATCTCAAAATCTTCCGCATCCTCGCGCAGTAGCATCTCCCGTTGTGCCTGCTTCTGCTGCTCTGCCATTGCTCGTTCCGGACTAGGACTGCGCTCGTAATCCGGATTTCCATACTTCTGGCATTCCATCGCCATGTGATATGTGAAAAGCAGCTCGTTGTTGCACCCAGCAAAACATCTTTCCGCTTCATCTTCGCCTCTTTTCGAATCGTCGAATACCACATAGTACCCAGTCTTGTCCAATCGCACCTCCCGCCAGTCGAACGCCTTTAGTCGCTTTTTGAGATGCGGAATAGTTGTTCCCAGGACGGGTACTGAGCTATGTGGAATATGAATATAAGGCTTGCGCTTGATCTTGCTCAAGATCGGCTCTTCCTCGATGAGAGATGCTGGGCCTGAGCGCGCTGCTACTGTACTCGCAGGACCTGTGGGAGGCGCAACTTCAATAGTTGGCGCAACCTTGGCTCTTGAAGCAGAAGGGCCTTTCGGAGCGTTGGGCGGCGGTGCAGACGCGTCTGGCTTTGGAGTTTCTGTGGCCGGTGCGGATGGAGCATGGCCATGCCGCTTGTCCTGTTCGTTTCTCAATTTCCGCAGCGCTTCCTCGACATGGCGTTTACACCTCCGCCCTTCGCGATCCAGCTCAACCTTGACAGATTGCTGTTGCAGCTTCTGACCACTCTTGAAAGCCGCTTCTGCACTTTTCGCCGCAGTGACTGCCGAAATTTCCTGACCATTCTGATTATGATCTCGAAATTTGATTTGCGCAATGCCGAGAAAACTTCCCGTTGCGGGATCAGTCTTGTTCGTCAGCGAGGCAATCTTGCCGAATGTGCCAAAGTTCACCCGCAAAGTCGATTCCATCATGAAGGGATCGAATCCGACAACCACGATCTGCTCTGCTTCGCCAGGACCGACGGAATTGGCATCGGTCTTGAATGGTGGCAGATTGTATGGCGCAATCCGCAGGATAGCCTTGCTGGGCTTGGTCTTGGCGCGACAATTGCCTGACATATATCCCGGGATGGCCAATCTAGGATCTGGCGGCGCCATGGTTGTCTGTCATTATCCATTGTGTCAGCCAAAGGGTACAGAGCGTATTTTCTTTCGCCATATCATGTCATGTGTACAATCTTGCGCAAGCTCAGCAATTGATGAAAAGTATAGCGTACCTCGATGCCGAATTCCTTTTTGCGTTGTGTAGCACGCTTACGCTCTTCCTTGCTGAGCTTGACGTCCAATTCTGGATCCCATACCGCTCTGTACCCTTTGATCTTGCCTGGTGGCGGGAGCATTTGCGGGCGGCTTTTGCGTGCCATTTGCTCGTTCGTTTGGGAGACTGGTGTCCTTGACTCGGTGCCATTAGTGGCAGCCATCCCGGCGGTAACATGTGCATGTAGAGGACTATTTCCCTTTTGCGGCGATGAGTCTGTGTGGTTGGTGAGAGGTGTCAAGCCATTGCTCAAAGACGGCTTTCGAGGTTGTGAGAAAACGGACGATGCAGTGCTGCCGAGTGAGCTCGCAGAGCCTACGCCGCCGAGCATGTCGCCATTTTCGGAAGGATGCATGAGGTTGTCCGCGCCAGAGATGAGTCGGACCTGCGGCGCAGCATTTGAAGTCGAAGGCCGTCTCGGTTGTCGGCTGCCTTTGATATCAGTCGGTGAGCCGAGAATTTTCGAGGATGGTATGATGTCGTGCGCAAAGTCGGGCAAATCTCGTCTATGCTTCAACGGGTTTTCCGAGACACTTCCGGGAACGAAGTCGAGGCCACCATGTGGCATACTATCGCCGAATGTCTCAATTTTTCATGTGTGTGTCAACCATCGTCAGCGGGCGAGACGAGTCGTTTGGCGGAGTGACACGGCCGAAGATGGTGTCGGATGCGACGCGTGCCTATGAGAACGGTGATCGCGTGCGACGCGCAGGATAGCTGGCGCTTCGAGGCGTCTATGGCACGACCGGACGATCAACACATCAATCAAGATGTGCGATCGCGATTGGAAATGTGATGATGGTAAGTGCGCGTGTGTGAGATGGAGTAGGCGGTATTCTCGTCGGGCTCTCCTCAGGGCAAAGGAGGTTCCAATAGAAAGATGTCACGAACGCACGGTCCACTTAATATTCAACTTTGTCCAGCAAAATACAGTAAAACGCTCTGACGCCAATTCGGTCCACATTCCGTGGGAATGGAAATTGTGTAAAAATCCTCGGCATGTGTTTCGACAGCAATGGACATACTACGTTCCTGGTGCTTGAATGGTGAAGATTACAAGAATCACGTCTCAGCAAGGCATGGGTATCGTTGCGCGAATGGGGCTAACATTCGAGTATTACCGTTCATTTGAACGCGGCGAATGGATGGGGTGCGTTACTATTTGTCATGCTCCCAATAAATCCCATCCACTTCTCAAACACGCTCCTATCCAAGCGTGATATTGATGATTTTGATGTCTTCAACCGGCCTCTCCTGCCAGACCTTGGTATTCTCGATCAAATGAACGACATCCATCCCCTTGACACATCTCCCAAAGATGGTATGCTTGTTATCTAACCAGTCGGTCTGCGCCGTGGTGATGAAGAATTGACTGGCATTGGTTCCCGGGCCTGCATTGGCCATGCTGACCGTGTACGGTTTATCGTGCCGTAGCTGCGGCGTGAACTCATCTTCGAACTCTTTACCCCAGATCGACTCGCCGCCAGTACCATCCCCAAGTGGATCACCTGTTTGGATCATGAACTTGCGGATGACACGATGGAAGATGATTCCGTTATAATATCCCGCTCGCGCGTGTACAGTGAAGTTTTCCACGGCCTTTGGCGCGTACTGGGGAAACATTCGGATGTGTATGTCGCCCATGGTCGTGTGGATTGTCGCGGATGTCGCAAATCGATCGTTCTTGACCTCTTCTGTTTTTGCATTGGATCCCAGAACTCGAGGCTTTTCGTTGTGAATGTCCCGATCTGATTTTGATACGTTGTCTTCGTTGGTGAACATGTAAAAGCGTACCTTGGCGGAGCCTGTAGTGACAAGCATCGCATCTCGAGCTTCTGCTTCGGCCAGGAGAGGATTGTCGGACGCAGCCATCTGTACTGTCACAACACCTTTCTTGTCGGGCTGTCCTTGATACAGCGCGAGGTGAACGGGTCGAAAGGTTTCTTCGCGCCCGTACACCTTGACTACCCGATTCGAAAGTGTGTTGATGACTTTTGTACCGAGAATGCTTCCATACAGAATGAAGTGCCCGCTTTCATCGAATATGACGTTGACTCGTGATCGAACGAAAGGGTTTTCCAGCTCGCGCTCCACCGCGATACGCCGGCCAAAGTCGATCGCATCCAGTGGATCACTACTCAGCGTTCCTGCTTGCTGCATCTCGGTCAAAGTGGTGATGCTCTCATCGTATGTACGATACAATTTGCCTGTGGCGAATGTGAAGACCCGTACCTTGCGGTCTGGAAATGAGAATGTTGCAAATTGTGAGCCGTCTGGGGAGATTGTTATAGAATATGGAACCGACTTGGCCTTCTTGAACTCGAACAGGGACGTGCTGCTCTTCATCTCAAAGACGTTGTCCGGCTTCTCATATGATCCTGAGGGTCGCCAATATTCGAGCATGCCACCCTCATCAGCAGAAACAACACAATCATACTGATTGTTATATGCCATTACATGGACCGGCTTGCGATGAAGAGCCTGGATCGTATGCAGCGGTTTCGTGTTTTCACCTCGACCATCAAAGAGCACGATGCTACCGTCAGCCGCACTGGAGACGGCAAGTAGAGGCAACGATGACATTTGTCCATGTACAAAGCAGATGCATTTCAGCGGAAACTCAGGCTCCAAGATAGCAAGTAAATCGAATGTGGACACGTCAAATATCTTGATGGTGTTATCCGCGCCTGCTGTCGCATAACTCCGCCCATCCACGCTGACCGTCACACTCGCGATCTCATCATTGTGCGCCTTGAATTCTTTGACGAACTCAATCCCTCCTGCCACCTTTTTCCAGAATTTGACATAGCCGTCTATCGAGCTGGTGATGAGGAAATCCGTATGCGGTGTTATCGTACAGAAGGACAATTGTTCCTTGTGCATCAACGATTTGGAGTATCTGGGAGCTGACGGCAAAGCTGCAATGTAGAGCTTTTCGTACGGCAGCCTCTTGCGCTTCTTCTTCGGCGCCTCTGACGAAGGCAAGGCTGGCCCAATGTCATCGTCGGAATCGCTTTCATCTGACGCGCCGGCTGCGGCGACAATTGGTTGACCATCTGCGAATTCCGCATGCGTTCTCTTCACGCCTTGCTCAAGCGCAGGAGTTTCCTCGGCCATGTTGCAAAAGGGCGGACGGGAATGTACTTCGACGTTCCCTGCTGAATGTTTTCGTGAATATTATTACGATCAGCACATCAATGTTTGTGAGGGTCGCGGAATGCAGTATTGTCGCAACACACGTGAGGACGGTTCCAGGAACGGTTCATTAACTGGCTGCAGCCGCTAGTAATGCAGCCGCCAGGTGCACATAGTGATACTGTACAGTATCGTAAAGGATGGAACGAAACAAGGGCAGACCCGGAGGTTAACGTCACAATAGATGGCAACAGTCCAGAGAGAGTCGAAAACAAAATTATTCAGGGCTGCGCAGAGAATGACGACGTATGAGTAATCGATAATTTTGAGTCGCAGGGCTGTGCGAGAAGCCTCGACCGCAATGCAGTACACCGGGCAATAAGCCTTCATCGCCACACAACATTTCAAGGTTCATTTCAATCCTGACTCACAATTCGAGATCAGCACTCTCTAATCCGTTATAGCACGTCTTTTCCTCTTGATCATAGCCTGCCTGCGTCTTATCTTGCCACTTCTTCATTCACACAGTACGAGCAACAACTCGATCAATTCTAAAAGTTCTATCGGGCATATTTTTCTGAAGGCCTGTATTTCATTTTTTGTTAGGAAGTGGCAACATTCAAATTTTCACAAGGACGGTTGTCCACACAGGCATATCAATCAACTTGACCAAGATACGTCCGAACCGTGGTGGCAAATTGCCTTCTTCTCAAGCGGAAGCTTCATTATGGAGGGACCAGTTGTGAGTACGCCTGTGGAAGCTGGTGCGTCACGACAGCCACAAGGAGGACGATCAAATCGAGGACGAGGACGAGGTCGGGGCCGCGGGAGAGGCGGTGGTGGAGGCGGACGAGATTCAGGACGAGATGCTGCGGCCTTACAAATGCGGCCTGCCAGTGTTGCTCCTGCTGCGAGCAATGGAGGATCAGCAATACCAGCCAACCCAGTCCGAAATCAGAACGACGAATCGAGCGGCAGAGGGCGAAGGCGACGAGGTAATGCTGCCAGGCCTGCTGAGAATCGGACTGTAAATGGTCGGGCTTTTGGTGGGCGATTAACGCAGCAAGGTGGTGAGGATTCGGCGCCGTCGAGTCAATCGGGACAGCTGCAAGGCGCTGCGCCTACTTTTGTTCCAGGACAGCCGGTCACTCGTCCAGCTCCTGTTGCGCGTCCGAAGCGAGAACATCCGAGGCAGGCAGCACCTCCAAAACCAAAAGCTCCGAAATCACAAGCGCTAGATATTGCCACTCGCACCCATGAAGATATCGACAACGGTCATTACGAATGTGCAATCTGCACAAGCGAAGTACGGACCAATTCCAAAGTCTGGTCGTGCCATACTTGTTGGACAGTATTTCATTTGCATTGTGTGAAAGTCTGGTCCGCGTCAACAATCAAACAGCAAGAAGAGAATAATCGACAAGGGGGAAACCCACCTCAGTGGCGATGTCCCGGCTGCAACCTTCCCAAAGATACCCTGCCCACGTCATACACGTGTTGGTGTGAAAAGGAGTACGATCCCAAGACTCTCGCTGGAATTCCTCCACATTCATGCGGGCAGACGTGTGGTCGGGAACGGGTCAAGAAATGTCCTCATCCATGCCAGCTTACGTGTCATGCTGGTCCCTGTCCGCCATGTTCGCATATGGGTCCGACTCAAGCCTGCTTTTGTGGCAAGCACCAAACCACCAAACGATGTACTGAGACTGACTACAGTTCGGCTTGGACATGTGGGGAGGTTTGCAATGCGCCCCTGGCTTGTGGTGAACATGCGTGTACACGGCCATGCCACGAAGGTCCTTGCGGGCCCTGCCAAGTACGCCTGCCAGCTCGTTGTTATTGTGGCAAAATGGAAAAGGACGTGCTTTGCGGTGATCGCGGCATTCCAGCGACTAGCTATCAAACCCACCGACTCGAAACGGGCGAGGTTGTCTCGGAAACATGGACCGGGTTGTTTGAATGTGAAAACCTGTGCGAGCGCGAATTCGACTGCGGCGTTCACCAATGTCTAAAGCGGTGCCATCCGCAGGATGGAACGCCTGGTCATTGTCCCAAGTCCGCTGATGTCATTACTCACTGCACTTGTGGCAAGACTGCCCTCGACGAATTGATGGAGGAACCCAGGACATCGTGTGAGGACGCAATTCCAAGCTGTGGCAAACCATGCAGCAATTCACTAACATGCGGCCATCTTTGCCCTCGGGTCTGCCATTCCGGAAAGTGTCCGCCCTGTCAGGAGAAGATCACTATTAATTGCCGATGTGGCAGAACTTCATCCGACTCACTTTGCCACCAGGGTCAGGAAGAATCGCCACAGTGCCGACGTATCTGTCGTGCAAATCTCAACTGCGGCCGTCATGCCTGCGAAGAGCATTGCTGCGCAGGGGAACGCAAGGCGGTCGAGCGACTGTCGAATAAACGAAAGCAACGTCCACTGAGTTCAGCTCCTCGTGCGGTGGACGATGGCTTCGAAGCCGAGCACATCTGCACCCGTCAATGTGGTCGACTCTTGAAATGTGGGACTCACTATTGCGATGATCTTTGCCACAAAGGGCCCTGCGGCTCTTGCAAAGAAGCCATCTTCGAGGAGATTTCCTGCAACTGTGGCCAGACGGTATTGATGCCGCCACTGCCGTGTGGGACTCGCCCTCCACCATGTCGACAGCCTTGTCGCCGTCCTAAAGGGTGCGGTCATCCTCAGGTACCACATACTTGCCATCTCGACAGCGAGAGCTGTCCGAAATGTCCATTTTTGGTGGAACGACGATGCATGTGTGGGAAGCGCATGGTCAAGAATCAGCAATGCTGGCTGGTGGATATCCGTTGCGGCGAGATTTGCGGAAAGAAACTTCGATGTGGGTATCATTTCTGCCGAAAGCCCTGCCATCGCTCGGGCGAGTGCGAGGATGCCAACGGTCAGGCATGTCAGCAGCCCTGCGGAAAGGAGAAGAAGGCTTGTGGCCACCCGGACGAGGCGCCTTGTCACGCTCCTTACCCTTGCAAGGAGGAAAAGCCTTGCACAAGCAAGATGTTCATCACCTGTGAGTGTCAGGCTCAAAAGCAAGAAGTGAGATGCGGCGCTTCCAAGAACAGCGAAGGAAATACAGCCAAAACACTACCCTGCAACGATGAGTGTGCTCGGTTGGAGAGGAATCGCAAACTTGCCGTGGCTCTCAACATCGATCAATCCACGCATGTAGATGGTGGGGACCATATTCCCTTTTCAAACGAAACTCTGACTCTGTTCGCATCGCATCCGAAACGGGGACAAACACAAGAGCGCGAGTTCCGTGTCTTTGCCGCTGCCGAGGATGAGAAGAGGCTGCGTTTCAACCCCATGCAAGCCTCACAACGCGCTTTCATCCACGCTCTTGCTGACGATTTCGGCTTCGACTCGGAAAGCGTCGATCCCGAACCCCACCGTCACGTCCTCGTGTGGAAAACCCCACGCTTCGTGTCCGCGCCCAACAAGACCCTCGCCGACGCCCTGCGCCTCCGCCAACAATCGCTCCGCTCCGCCAACGTCTCCGACACCGAAACCGGGCCCTCCGCCTCAAAGCCCCACCTACAACCCACCAAGCCCACCGAACCCTTCAACAGCTTCGTGATCAAAAACCCGCGCTTCGCCCTCACCCTCGACGAAGTCCGCACCGAAGTCCTCCATGTCCTCTCCAGCACGGGCCCCCACCCCTTCACATTCGACATCGAATTCCTGCCCAGCGAAGAAGTCGTCCTCAAGGCGAACACCCGCACCCTCTCCGCCCCCGAACTCGAGCGCCTCCTCCAGAACCTCCGCGCTCCGCTCACCCGTGCCATCGCCTCCAGGGGCTTCGGCAGCACCCAGCTCTGCTACGCCGATTCTTCGCTGAATGTCACCCGCTTGGAATCGGACGCCACCGGCGGCGACGGCTGGTCGCGCGTCGCCGCGAAGAAAGTCGCCCCGAGGAATTTGGTTTCGGGATCTGCGTTCGTGGGAACTAACAGTTTCGCTGCGCTGGGCGGTGGCGGCAGCGCGGTTTCCGCTGGAGGCGGGAGTGGGCCCGGGAAAGTCACGTTTGTCAAGAAGAAAATCGTCAGGCCGTCGAAGGCGACGACTAATAAGCCGGTTGTGGTGGATGATTGGGAGGCCGCGGAGGCCGCGGAGGAGGAGAGGGAGAATCCTGTCGCGCCCGCGGGCGCTGTTTCTGATGAGGATTTTCCTGTTGCCGAGGCTGCTGGCGCCACGGGCCAGGCGCAAGCTGCTGATGCCATCGAGACTGCTGCGGATGCTGAGGGACTCAACGCCCCCGGACCAGCTCAAGTTGACGGTGAGATCGACTTGCCAGAGCCATCAGTCACCACCGCCGACGAAGTGTTCGATGACAACGATGGCGAAGACGACCTCTCCCGCGCAGGCGGTGTTCTTCTTGATGCGGCATCATGATCGCCAGAGCATGGTATCTCCCAGTGGCTAGGAAAGTGTCTGCGAGAGAAGGAGACGAAGGGCATTCAAAGGAAGCAAACATTGTCCTCCGAGCACCAGACTTGTGGCTGGTTTCGTCTTCGCCATGACGGTGTTATGTAGACCAGATGGCCTGGCCCCTCCGCATTGACATGGGGAATTTTCCAATGAACAACCTTGATGGAGTGATTGATTTGTAGAAAGTTCCAGGGACGGGTTTTAACTCCGCACTCTCTGCGGCTCCTCAATTATAACAGTTTGAACACGAACATATGCAGACTCGTACAATAATCGATGCCGTGCCCATAGATCACGAATAAAATATCGTCGCTAAAAGGGGGAAAGGTGACGAAGTTCGATGACGGAATACAAGCACCTCTAAAAACGAAGGATGTACTTCCTGGTCGTCGTTGTATTTCCTACTTTTAAACACAGGCTCGAACTCTTCGCCGTTCGTTCCATTGAGGTTGGTCTGTTCGACCGTATAAATGTCAAGATAAGCGGTCGAGAGCGTACTCATCGCTGCGGATTGCTCGGTGGACATCGGCGGGCCGGGTCGATGGTTCGTGATTCTTCTATTGGGCCCGCTATTGCGCTGCGGACGGGGTTGCACCTGGCTGGCTGGCTGGCTGGGACAGTCGTCTTCGTTGGGAGGGAATTGATACAATTTTCTCTTATAAATCCATGATACAGGTCCATTTCTCATTTTCGGGACTCCGCCTGTGATGAGAAATAGGTGAGAGAGACAATGATGAGAGAGAGAGAGGAAAGGAGAGGCCCCTTTCATCAGAAAACCCTCTTGCTCTATTTTGTGAAGAGGGAATTCAGCTCACCACCACGACTGATACCACCGATTTTCCTCTCGTCATTCTCTCCGTTTCCACAAACTCTCTCCTTCATTTGTCTCGCCTCGCTCTCTATTTCTTCCCGGCCTTCTCCTTCCTCGCCTTCGCCTCGCTCTCCGGCACCGCGGCGGACACGAGGATGTCCTGCTGTCCTCCATCCGCACCGCCGTTCTGGAGCTGCTTGACCAAGTGGCCCGTCGTGGGGCGGTTGATGAGGGCGCCGAGGGTGCGGTTGTAGACGAACAGCGGCAGACGCATGAGGATGGTGTCGTTGATGGTCGGTTTGGGGACTTCGTTGGGCTGTAGGGTCTCATGTCAGATCGGTTTGCAACCTTTTTCAGGGGGTCGGGGGCGGGGTGGGATTGGAACTTACGTCCAGGAGTAACTCCTGGCGGACGCCCTCGGCGGTCGTCTCCTCGAGGAAGACGTTGCCCACGCTGTCCACGATGAGGATCTTGCCGTTCTCGGCCACCGTGCGCTTCTTCGCGCCCACGGGCTTCACCGCGGGGAAGTCGTCGTATTCCTCCTCATCCTCGAGCTCCTCCTCAGCGGCGCCCGACAGGGCCGCAGCGCGCGCCTTTTGCTTCTCGGCGGCGGCGGCTTTGGACGCGGCCTTGCCGGGGTTCTTGGCGTCCTTGCGCTTCTCCTTGTCCATGGCGCGTTTCTGCTTTCGGTTGTATGCGATCGCGACGTCATTTCCTTCTCCTGCGGCGGCGGTGGGTGACGATGCTGTGGCGGTCGTGGCGTCGCTGCTGCTGCCGCCTAGTCCGGGGATGGCGCCCGAGGAGCCGAACATCTCGTCGCCCCAGGCGGTGCGGCGGGCGTGGCGGATGTAGCGGTCGAGGAATTCGTGTTGGCGGCGCCAGCTGACGTACAGCGCGGCGTAGTGGACTGCACCACCGGCGAAGACGAACAGACCGAAGAGGACGGTGCCGAGACCAGGGCGGAAGCGCTCGTAGTAGTAACCGGTGCCGCGCCACTTGGGGAAGCCATTACGGAGGAAGTGGTCGTAGCGCTGGCGTTCGGGTCCACGTAGGACATTGGCGATCAGCGAGAGACGTTCGAACCGCGCAGAGGCAGTCTTGTGGAATTTGGCAATCTCGCTGGCCGAGGGTTTTTTGTTCTTGTGAACGTGAACGGTCGGTTTGGCGCCGGGCTTGGCGCGAGGGGGCAGGTTGTAGGAGGCGATCCAGTTGCTCTGGGCCTTGTCGGGGTGGAGAGAGCGGGAGAGTTTGCGGTAGGCGGCATTGATGTCGGCTTGCGAGGCAGAAGGTTGGATCCCCAGCCATGAGTAGAATGTGACGTTGTGACCTTCGTTGGTCGCTACTTCGTCGCGAAGGCGGAAGATCTCATGGTCTTCCTGTGATGAGGGAGGTCAGATGTCAGCATGTACTATCCGTGCATTGTTCTTTGCGATTGGCCACATGCGAGGTGATGCGAGTCACATGGAAGTTGGCGGGTGTATAACAGACAGGTTGCTGGCTGGAGCTAGCCGGCGATGCATCAGCATTGGAGGAGACCTACCTTGGACCAAGCCGCTGCCAGTGCAGTCAAGCACGCGAGCAGCAGCAGTGAAAAGGAGCGCATGATGGAGAGCAATCAATCAGCCAGCAGCGATGAAACGGGCACGAGCAGTCGGACCCAAATGAAAGTGGTGAATGCAAGGAGAAGAGCGATAAGACCGCGCTCAGAATGAAGACATGGAGACGATGGTGATTGTGGAGAGCAGAGAGCCCCAAAAAAACATCACTTCGCCGCAACAGCGCAAGAGGCCAGCGAATCCTCTATTTTCTGAGACGGGAGTCAGGTCAGGGTCCATATGCGATCATCCACGATCATGCCGTTAGGGTCGGGGTCAGGGTTGGGGTTATCACCCAACCCCCACAGTTCCCTTCCAACCCTTTGAACGTCAGATCTCCTCGCCATGCTGTTCACATGTTGGAGCAGAGATACATATAGTAAGTACATCATCCATATATCACAGTGGTCAATTGGCAGCATATATGTATGTATATACATGCCTTCTCATCCGGAGCATGTTGATCAGTCACGGGCATTGTTGTAACAATCGGCGGTGTTGTTATTCCCGCAACACATCATTAGTACTGTCTGTCCTCACCAACACCTTGGAGGGAGAATGTTACCGTCCTTTTGGCGAGCGTATTACCGCCTCTTACTTGGGAGGCGAGTAGATGGACCGTCATATGTACCTGGAGTGAGGACTGAGAGCCGGAGAGCCGTCGACATGTGAATTGAATTGTGCACCGAATGCCAGGTGAAACCCAGAATGATGATGATTAATCAAGATATGCACAGAGCAGCCAGCCAGCCCTAAACGCTTCATAACGCAGTATTCATGCTTATGTCTATTTTGATGTTTTATGTTTGGTTCATGGAAAATCTCCCCCACCTTCTTCCCCTTCTTCGCCAGATTGCGATGTAGATTTTGGTGGGCTGTGTCGGCTTTATGTACCCTACCACACACATGCTGCATAAAATCCCAGGGTCATTGGAGCGATATCGCGCAGTTGGCTATCTCACATCAAATCTCACTGCAGAAGGAACACCCACCCATTGAAAGAGTCATGATATGATTCATTCACATACATGCATTGATTGAGTCACCTGTCTCGTAGAATATAAAGCCTGGATCGTTATCACCATTTGTGATTGCATTGAACAACAACCGACTCCTCCAACTCCTTCACATTCCAGACCACATCATACATCACAATGGCCACATCGACGTTTCCTCCTCCACCGGTCAACACCATTGGTCAGTCGTTCTGGAATAGCCTCCTCATACAGAGCCACCTTACTGACATCACTACACCAGACTGGACGGACATTGGCTTCAAAGTCCGTGAAGGTATGACACATCCCAATCAACCCAAATCGAAGTGATCACAAGACCAAGAAGATCGAGGAAAAGAAAAATATCCATCTCACAACTCTTCCTCCTCACAGTGAATGGCCATGTCGAAGCCCGCTACTCCTCCAAAACCGGCCAATGGACCGCTCCAAAATTCATCCAAGACCCTTTCCTCCGCCTCCACGGCATGGCCCCCGCCCTCAACTACGGCATGCAATGCTACGAAGGCCTCAAAGCCTTCCGCACCCCAGGCGACGTCTCCGTGACCATCTTCCGGCCCCGGCAGAACGCCGAACGCATGCAACACAGCGCGAGTTTCGTCAGCATGCCGGAGATCCCCGTCGAACTCTTCCAACACTGCGTGCGACTCGCCGTGAGCCTCAACGCCGCCTACGTACCGCCCCATGACTCCGGCGCGAGCATGTACGTGCGCCCCCTGCTCTTCGGATCCAGCGCCCAGCTGGGCCTCGATGCGCCCGAGGAGTACACCTTCTGCGTGTACGTCATGCCCACGGGGGTCTACCACGGCGTGCACCCCGTCGCGGCCCTGATCCTGGAGGATTTCGACCGTGCGGCGCCCGAGGGGACCGGCAGCGCGAAGATCGGAGGGAACTATGCGCCCGTCCTCAGGCACAGCGGGAAGGCGAAGAAGGAGGGCTATGGGATTACCTTGCATCTTGATAGTCGCACTCGCTCGGAGATTGATGAGTTCTCGACGTCTGGATTCATCGGCGTCATCGGAAACCCCGAGAAGGGAGAGGATGTCACCGTTGTCGTGCCGGACAGCACGAACGTCATTAAATCGGTCACGAGCGACAGCGTCTGTCAGATTGCGAAACATTTCGGCTGGAAGGTTGAGCAACGTCCGGTATGCTTTGCCTTTCTTTTCCCCCTTTAACTTTTCATCTGTCGATTTTCTCCACGCTTGCACTCTGCCTCGCTCTTCTCCCAGAAAGAGGCGAGAGGGAGAACAAAAGAGCCCGACATCAACCACCCACCAGACACATCACCAATCCTACAGATGGAACCCCCCCTCGCTGATTCACACTGACATCGCCATCAGATCAAATACACCGAGCTCCCCTCCTTCACCGAAGTCATCGCCGCCGGCACCGCCGCCGCCCTCGTGCCGATCAAGAGCATCGCCATGCGCTCCACCAACGACACCTTCCTCTACCAGGGCGGCGGCGACGAGCCGGGCCCCGCGATCATCAAGCTGCTGAAGCAACTGCAGGGCATCCAGCGGGGATTGGTCCCGGACCCGTTCGGTTGGGTGGAGACGGTGCGCGCGTATGGCGAGGGCGAGTTCGAGAGGGACGGCGCGGTGGAAGCTCCTGCTGCTGCTGGCGCTCAGGAGAAGGCGTTGAGTGAGTTGCCTTGATGTTTCTCTTGTTTCTTTTTTTTTCCATATCATGGATATGGTTTGGCAGCTGTCGCTTCTTCTTTGTTTTGCTATTTGCTAGATGAATACAGTCGCGCGCGCGCGCTCTCTCTCTCTCTCCTGAGCATAGGTGATGATGAAAAACGAAAGATTCCTTCTCTACTTGGAATTCTGTTTCTTTTGCTTCCTTCCGTTTCTGTCCGATGATTTTTATTTTATCCGATGAACAAGAAATATCCCCCCCGCCCCCCCCCCCCAAAATTACTACCGCCGCCACAAGTCTGAAGTTAAGTCTCTCCCCTCTGTTCGCTCTGCTGCCGTGGATTTGACGACTGCTGTGCTGGTGCTTGTGCTTGTCGCGACTGCTGCTGAGCCTCCGCCTGTGCCAGCAACGCTTCGATCTTGGCCTCCATGGAATTTAACTGGTTCTCTAGCGCGGTGGCGGCGCGTTCGCCCTTGGCGAGTTCGAGGAACGCCTGTTGTTTTTTCCCATGTGAGAATAAAGAATTCATACGATATGAGAATTCTTTTTTACTGTAGGATGTGAGGTGGAAATGTTGGAGAGATGCTCTTCTTGCGTCTTTTAGGGTTTGGTCTATTCCTTTTGCTCGGGGCCTCGTTCGTTTGGTCGCGATGATCGATGTGGTTTTCGGGGAAATTCTGGGTTCTACTTACCTTGGCGAGATCGGCTTCGTCATGATTGCTGCTGCTGGTGGTGTTGTTGTTGTTGTTGTTTGAAGCAGATGGGTTTGAAGGCGGCTTGTTGGTCTCGGAGGCCATGTCTTCTGTTTCGAGGTCGGAGGGAATTCTTGGTTGGTTGTTGGTCGCCGCTTGATGTCGTGTCGAAAGCTGCTTGTTCGTAATTTCCAATCGCGAATCGAAATGGCTGGTATCTCGATGCCTGATCGTGTACTCGGTTGGCGTGAATGCTGACTATGTAGCTATTTCGAGGGTTGGTTGCCGTGGATCTCCAGGGTCTGCGGGTTGTCTGTCTGAGGTGAAGTCAGTCATCGACGTTGCCCGCCCGCCAAAGCCCGCTTCATTCTCCTTCTCCACAGATCAACGGGAACGGACAAATTCAAATCCCGACTGTCCGATCTACTGTTCATTATTGTCTCATCGTTTTCACTATTCCGCGCTCTGCAGGAACCTGAAGGAACATTGGATGACAAACCCAGGTCCAGGCTGCAATCGGATTTGTCCAGTCTCTACGCAACGTGGGCTCTACACTTGACAATGGTGATACTGTAGTTACCGCTATCTCCTTCGGACAATAGAATAAGCTTCTTGCTTGTACCTGAGAGTCGACCTTCTAGAATCATCAAGACCTACATAAAGAAATCCTACACAGACGTCCGGATCCTCGCGTACCCACATATAGTATCCATCACCACCCTGACCACCCCGGATCTCATTATACTTTTCCATCACGCAAGATTACAACCGAATTGCAACATGACAACCATGAATGACGCCTCGGCTGCACCAATCCGCTCCACCACTTCGGCGTATCAGATTCAGGACGCTATCCCTTCCATCGGCGACAATGAACCTTCACCGTCTGTCAATGTCTCGGACCTAGCGCCGGTGCCGCAACCATCGCCCACGCGTCTCGAAGCGTCCCTGTATGACACACCCTGCGACGTCGAAGGAGTACTCCAATTTCCATACACGCAAAAGGGAACTGTTTTATACCTCGCCTATGGCTCCAACCTTTGCAATGAAACCTTTCGCGGCAAGCGCAAAGTCGTACCCATCTCCGAGATCAACGTTCAGGTGCCGACGCTCCGTTTGACGTTCGATCTGCCAGGCCTGCCTTATCTCGAGCCCTGTTTCGCCAATAGCGCCCTCCGCGATCCCAGTAACGATCCTTCTAGGGTCACGTCATCAGACATCGCCAACGAAAAGACTGCACTTCTGGCCACCGAGGACGCCCCTTCCACCCAGGACTACCGCAAGAATGCCTGGCGCAAAGGCCTCATCGGCGTAGTCTACGAAGTCACCGCCGCCGACTACGCCAACATCATCGCGACGGAAGGCGGAGGCGCTTCATACAAAGACATCCTCGTCGATTGCTATCCCTTCGCCGACGACGACCCGCACGCCAGCGTCCCGAGCTCCCCCTCCACCGCTCCCTTCAAAGCCCACACCCTGTTCGCACCGGCCCGTCAGCCGGAATCCCCTGCTTCTTCCGATGAAGGAACCGGCGGACGCTTCCAGCGCCCTGACACATCCTACGCGCAGCCCTCGGCGCGTTATCTCAAACTCATCTCCTCAGGCGCCACCGAACGCGGCCTCCCCTTCGAATATCGTGAATATCTCGACTCGATTCGACCCTACCGCATCACGACGACGCGACAGACCATCGGGAAAGCGCTGTTCGCGGGCTTCTGGGGTCCGGTGATTCTGGGGATGTTTGCGCTTTCGAAGCTGGTTGCGGGGAAGAATGGTCGGGCGCCGCCATGGATGGCGAGGTTGTTGACGGCGGTGTTTGGATTCGTCTGGGTTGCTTATGATCGGTTCTATCGACCCGTGTTTGGAGATGGGGAGAGGACGATCGGGGACGCCAGGGACGATATGGGGTTGTCGGATGTTCGTCGTGGTAGTGATGTCGTGGAGGTAGAGAGCAGAGGAGGAAACTATGATCCTGAGAAGATGAGGGATGATGGTCCAACGATGTAAACCATTATGTTCTTCTTCTTATGATGGTTGTTGCTCTTACAATAGAAAAGTTTTGGAAAATACTAATGTCCATGGAGTATGAGAGCATCAGGTGACGTCGCGTTCGACCCCGTGAATCTACCATCACCTATCACAAGGCAGGCAAGCACCTCCATCATTGACGAGAGAGAGCTCCTAGCTTCACATCAGTCACAGCCCATAGCTCTCATCCGATTTCACATCGCATTACCAAATTCAAATTCAGATTCAGACTCACGACCTTAGCACGTTCCACCTGTTCGCTCATTCACTCACTACATTCACATCGGTCATGTCATGTCATGGCCACCACACACATCCGCATCCGAGAATCTACCACTTTGATCGACGTCAGCGGATATGCCCAAACGCCTGTTTTTGACACACCACCACTACCGCCTTTACTTCTGTCTCCGCCTGCACCGGCGCTGATGACGATGGCCACGACGGCAATGAAGGTTCCCCGGACTCCGAGTAATCCCAATGCGGCGAGCTTTGAGTCACAAGCCGCTCTCACCATCGAGGCTGGAGCCGTGCAAGATGTTTTGGAGGATTCACTCAAGGACAATTATCTCGTAGCACATCGAAGCAGTCCTGCGACCACGAAACAGAAAACTACACCATTTCAATCCGCCGAAAGCGACGAAGTTGAAGACGAGGATTTGTATTCCATCACGCCCAAGAAGAGGACCTCCCGTCGGGAGACCGTGAAGAACTCATGGTCTGACCGCGGCGACAAGCATGGAAGTCGGGGAGAGCTGTCGAAGATGGATGTCGCTTCGATCTTTGATGGTGCCCATACTGCCTCTGCTGCGGCTGACCAAGTGATCGCTAGTGACGGCGTCGTTGAAGCTCAGAAGGGAGTCGATGCGTTTTCTTCGAAACAAGTCAGCCCTGCGATACTGCAGGCAGCGGAGCGTGTTGAAGGCACAATCGTCGTTCCGGTGCTGCCTGCAAAGGACAGCACCAAGCTCAATTCAACGAAAACCGATCAAGTAGCGGCCAAGATTCGGCTCTCCGCCAAGGCAGGTGAAGAGAAAACACACGTTGAGTCGACCGGTCCCATGGGAAAAATGCCAGAAGCACAGAACTCTCATAATCTACCCATTGAGACGTCCAATGCAAAGAGCCGGAAAAGCCTGCCAGCTGTCAAATCGGCAAGGGATTCTAAACCTTCGGCCAAGCTCAAAGTACCAACAATGCGAGAGTCTCTCAGAGGATCAATGAATCGAATTGCAGAGGATGCACCAACGATCGCACAACAACAGCGTAAGACAGAGAATTCGCACAATCAGTCTGCCCTGACAAAGCTTCGATCCAAGCGCTCGCATGAAGCGATCGCCACCGAGCCCAACGATACACCAGCTGATGATCCAAAATCAAACGTGGATGTTTACAGCTTTCCCGAAGAGCTTGTAAGTACTAGTAAGGTGTATACAAAGAACGCGAAGAAGATGAAGCTGGACAAGACGAAGAAGTCCAGTTTGACAGAGTCATCGAAGCAGATGAAGATCGATCAGCTCCCTCTGTCAAAGCCCTCACCTGGAATCATAGCAAAGCCCACGAACAATCCTGCATCCAAGAGTCTGCTGAATGAAGACGTGGAGAAGGTCAGAACAAGAGAGGAAATGTCAGAATTACACAAGCCGGAACCATCGACACCGGAGAGTGTACCTGTCGATGAGGACACGATTGTTGTTTCTCACACGAAAAGATCGGCACAAAAACGAGTCTCTTTAGAAGGGCGGCAGAATGGCTCAAGCGTTAAACGCGACAAAAGCGTATCTAAAATGCCCAACAGTGTCGATCATGAAGACAATTCAAAGATGAATCATCAACCCGCTTCGATCACGATGCCGCGATCGCATGTGAAAGGATCAACACAACAGGATGCTTTCGTTCTTTCCGACGGCGATGAGTCTAGTGAAGACGAGTACGTCACAGAACAACTGCGTCAAGTACCGATACACAAGCCACATGTACCCTTTGAAGCAAAGGACACTACACAGACCAAAATTCCAAGAACACCTGCATATCAAACGGAGAATCTTCCGACACCTATCAACACGGCCCGCAAAACACCTATCATCGCCTTTGACAAATCTGGGCCTCGTAACCAAGGATCGAGTTCAAGTAAACGTAAAACAGTTTACAAGGCTCGGCCCTCAAAACGAGCTCCTCTCAGGAGTAAAGATCCAAACCTGAAGATGAATTCAGGGGAGATTTCTGCGCAAGGTAGCTCTGTAGTCCCACAGAATCTTCGAAGCAAAACGAAGCTTGCAAAGCCCAGTACGGGCAACATTGCGAGTACGGTCAATGTTGCACTAGCGGGACTTCTTCCCTCAAAAAGGCAAGCAGAGACAACGAAGGCTTACGAGGCGAGCCCAAAACGCCACAAAATCGATCATAATTCTGATTCGGTCGCCCCGGCCGCGAAAAGCGAGCGGCCGCACGGTAACGGCGATGAAGACAAGGCTGATGGTATTTTGTACACCTTCGATGATTTTGTCAAGACTTCGCCCCTCCCGCAAGAAGGCTTGCCTGAAGAATCACATGCTGCATTGAGGACTGCCTCGCAACTGGCTATGCCACCGCCGAAACAGGAACGACAACAGAACAAAAATGTGCAGCCTAGTATCGAGACGCATCGCGAGAACCTCAGCCATGACGAGCACGTCACGACAACGCGATCCAAAGAAAAAGCTTTGAAACAAAGTCACAAATCGCACGAGAGTAATAGGAGTAGTTCATTGACTCGCAAATCAGAGATACAAGTCCCTGCGAAGCGATCTAAGTTCTCGATGGATTCGGTTGAGAAGCCTCCAAGCCACGAGTCGAATCGGCTTCCTCGACAAAAGACTCCTCCAGAGGCACAAATGGCCACCGCCTCCACGAGCTTGAAAAACAATCGTGATGAGATCGTGCCTAGAAAGAGGTCATCTCAGACTGTAGACGTTCGCGGAAGTCCCATACCTAAAAATATGGGTGACCTAAACCATACCACCGTACTCGAAACGTACCGCCAGCAGACACAGCAGAATCCTGACGTGGAGGACGACTTCAATGCACTTGAAGCACCGAGAGTCGCCTCTCGTAATGGCTTGTCAGTGCCTCTTGATCCTCTGTTCTCTCGTCGAGTCAAACCTCCTTTGTTGAGCTCCGATGGCATATTGAGCAGCCGCAAACCTCAGCCTGCATCTCCTCTCGCTACATCTGAAGTGCTCTCTGGTCTTCGAACTCGCGAGTCTGACAATGCATTGCTCTTGGGTCGAGCATCTGTGAAAATTGCTATTCCAAACCCTTTCGCTCGAGGTAGTGTGCAGAAGGGTGGAGATCTCAAGCAGGAGCCATCGCGTCCCTCTCCCCCGGATCCGACCCAGAAGCTTGACGAACAACTCGATCTTCTCCGTCACCGTCTTGGAAAAACAGCAACCATCACCTCAACCACACACCCTGCAGTACAAACCGCTCCGACAACCCTGGCGGCCTCCCGAGATCATACCATCCGCGCCCTCCACGCTGGCCACGCTCTCCTCACCGCCGATCCAAGAAAATCCCCATCCCACCCTAATAACACCTCCTCAGACCCAACCCAAACCGAAAACCTTACCATCTGGCGCACCGCCCTCGCCCCGCACCACGCCACCTTATTCGACGACCTCGTCAGCCTCGCGCACCAAGCGACCCAATCCCTCATCGACCAAGACCTCGCCTTTGCCCAATCCCTCTCGGACTACCAAGTCCGCAGCCAAAACATCATCTCGCAATGGGAGGCTCATCAGAAGAAGTTTTATTCCCAATTACAGGCCTCCCTCGCCAAGAAGAGGGCTCTCGTCAAAGCGGAATTGAGGGATTACAGCGGCATGCTGAAGGGTTGCGGGAGGGTCATCGAGGAGGTCCGAATGGAGTGGGAGAGGGATGGTCTCGAGAGGAAGAAAGTGTATAGGGACATCGAGGCCGTCGTTGAGAGGTTTGGACAGGAGAGTGTTGATGATGGGGAATGAGGGGAGAATGTTTCTTTTTGAATGGAATGAGGGAGGAAGGGAGGAAGGGGAAGTCATCGCTCTTCGGACTCATCATCAGATATCTGGTTTTTGTTTTGTTTTCTTTCGCTTCCCTCCTGTCCCTCGAGGAGTCCATTTCCAAGATGTACATCGATATCCAACTTGCTTTTCTTCCATGCCAAGAAAAAGAAGTCCGCTGCTCGTCGCTTCCACCTTTTTCTTTTGGGGGACGACTTTGTCTACCGCATTCAATTCATTCCAGACAGGGGGGTCAATATTTCGCGTTCAGCTTTGCAGAGGACATCACGATTCCATCGTAGCCATCGCCGAGTCAGTCATGATCGTCCGAGCCATCATCGAGAGAAAAAAGAAATTCGCCAAGTGTCGTCTCCCTCCCTGCCGGGGGATTCCCAACCCAGCCAGCCGTCGATGGCGTCTCTGTCGCCGTGGACCGCCCTTTCCCCACCTCTCTCTCTCCTCTCTCTCTCCGTTCTGTTCCCAAACAGATGTGTGCCTACCCTCCCTCCGAAGAAGAACAGCACATTCGCCTCCGTCCCCATCTCCACATCACATCGTAGGAGCCATGCATCAAAGCGGGAAGCGAAAACGAAAACAAAACAAAAGCAAGAATCGGGGAATCCAGCGACGCCGGAAAGTGTCCAGCGATGAGGCTCCCCGGGAAAAAGCCCCCCGGGTTCAGCGTCCGCGGGACTCGCTCCTCCTCTGCTGCGCCTGCTTCCGCTCGACGTCGGCGCTCTTCCGCGGGTCGTTCTCGTCGCCGATCCGCGGGGGGTCGCGGGACCGCGAGGTGGAGGGGCTGTTCGTGCGGCGGCCGTCGAGTCTGTCGCGGCGAGAAGCAGAAGGACCTCCTGGTCAGTGAAAAAGAAGAAAAATAGGAGATAAAAGCAAAGAAAAGAAAAGAAAAGGAAACAAGGGGATCGGGAACAAGAATTAATGAAAAAAAAGAGGGGGGAAACACTCACGAACGTCTCCTCTCCCCCTCCCTCCTCCTCTCCTCGATGATCCTCAGCATCTCCCGCCGGCCGCCGCGCGCGTCGACGTCCTTGCCGCGCATCGACATGGAGATCTTGTCCTGGGCGTGGGCGGTCAGCAGCTTCCGCAGCAGCAGGTGCTGCATGAGCAGGCAGACGAAGACGCCGCAGTCGCTCCCGTTGCTCTGCTGGGGGGTGTCGTCCAGGTTGACGAAGCGCAGGGGCGGGCCGCCGAGCAGCTGGGCCAGGCGCACGGCCACGCGCTTCGCGTCCGGCACGTTGCCCGCGGCCAGGCTGTCGTAGTGGAAGGCGACGCGGTCGATGATGGAGACCAGCAGCAGCGACCAGTGCGAGCCGCCCTCGGCCTCCTCGAGGTTGCGGCAGTCGTTCACGGGGAGGAAGACGTGCGTCGTGCGGGAGAGGTCCGGCAGCGCGGACTTCAGGCTGAGCGGGTCCGGCGTGTTCTGCAGCATGAAGCTCATCGAGGGCCGGAGCAGCACGATCTGCGCGTTGGGGTAGTGCGGCAGGTGCTCGTGCTCGAGGTACTCCTCCCAGAAGGCGATGGCGTTGTCCGTGAGCCAGTCGTCCCGGATCGAGGCGATGTCTTCGCGCGTGAGCCGCACGTCGTGGTAGCTGAGGTAGGGGTCTTCGGGGTGCAGCTGCGATCCGATTGCGTGAGTGGTCAGCGATGGGGTCTTTCCGCGCATCCGCCACGTCGATTCCCCTTTCCGCCCTTCCTCACAACTCCCCCCATTCCATTCCCACCCCAGAAAAAAAAAGATACATAAGAAGGGAGAAAATCATACCGTCTCCCCGAAATGCCTCGACACCCTCCCACCGAACGGATGGAATCCACCGGACCGACTCGGCGGCGGCTGCGACGCGCCCCTCGCCGACGACGAGGAAGGCGAAGATTTCCTCAACGGCATTTTCCTGCGCAGCGACGACGACGATGATGAGAGTTCGAAACGGCGACGATGACGATGGAGCGGGTTTCCCCCTGCAAGCTTGTTGCGGCTGCGGCTGCTGCTGCCCCCGCGATGGGCGGATTGGGGATGGGAGGTGAAGCGAGCCACGGCGGAGGTATTGGACGCGAGGGATGGTATGTTCTTTTCTCCTTGGGGATTGGGAGGTTTTCTCTTCCTTTCTTGGTTGTCTTGGTTGCTGGAGGGAATGAGGGAGGTGGAGGGAAAGGAAGGATGCAGGGTTCGTGTCGGCGAGCGGAAGAGAGAGAGAGAGAGAGAGAGAGTTGATTATGGTCCGAGAGGAGGAGAGAAGCAAGGCCGATCAGAGTTCACAGGTGAATCTCCTTGAATCCGCGCGGGTGGTTCCGACGTCGTCGACACGAGAATCTTTCCCTCTCCCGTCTCCACTATGGAGTCGAGCGACCTCGGATCCAACGAGGGGGCGACGACCAGACGGGGCGCTTCAGGAAGCTCAGAAGGGACATATGATGGCCGATCGGATCGGAGGCGGGCGGCGGAATTTTGGCCTGTTGTTGAATAGAAAACCTCTTGAGGAGGAAAAAAAAGAGTCGAGGAGCGGCCGGCGGAAAGAGCGAGCAAGCCCTGCAGGCGGAATGAAGAATGGAGAGTGAGGAGGTGACGTTGGCGCGCGCGCTGGACGGGACCGAACCGAAGCCCTCGCTCGCTCGCCCGCCCCCCAGAGAGCCGAGAGGAGGAGCTAAGAAAGCGCGCCGATGTCATTCATGCCCGCGGCAGAATTTCCAATGCGCTTGTATATTATATAGAATAGAGTGGTCGGTGGACCCTAAGCCGTGTAAACTCCAGCAGCCGGCAAATGGATTCACGACAACAACAACTATAATTCCCATCGAACTATGGACACTGTTCTGTTACTTACTGCTCATCTCCCTTTTGGCTGGAGAAAAAAATAAAATTGAAATTCAGATTCTCTGGTCGTTTGCCTCCCAAGAGAAAGAAAAAGAAATCTAAGAATTACAGAAACGGAGGATAGCGGAGAAGAGGAGAAGAGGAGGAGGAGGAGGAGGAGGGAAGAAACCCCGGAGGAGGGGACAAGAAAGATGGATAGATAATAATGACAATAATAGTTGGGATCCAGAAAGGTAGAAGAAAAGAAGAAAGAAGGAAGAAGGAAGAATACGAAGAAGAAGAAGAGACCAAGAAAAAGAAAAGAAGTGGAAGAAGAGGAAGCACAAGAGGAATCATCTGGCCGCTCCCTCTCCCTCCCTCTCTTCCTCTAGACGGACATCACAAAAACTCCCATTCAGACATTCAACCCCTTGTACAATTCCCCGACCTCTCCCAGTCCGCTGTCATCCTCCCTCTCCCCGGCTCCTCCAGATTTCAGGCTACCCGCGGCAACGGGATCGTTCTCCTTCTTCCCTCCGCCGCCGAGGAGGCCCGTCCACCGGCTCCTCTTCTTCTCGGCGCGTTTACGCTGCATCTCCGCCCATCCGTCGTCGCCGTCGTCGTCTTCGTCGTTGTTGCTGCCCTTTTTGCTCGCGGCGGGGGAGGCGGAAGGGCGGCCGGAGGAGGGCATGAAGCTGGCGCGGAGACCGGCGGATTTCGGCTTGTTGAGGGCGCGGATGGTGGGTTTGGATTCGGAGGCGGGTTGCTGCTGTTGGTGCTGCTGGAATTGTTGTTGCTGTTGCTGGAATTGTGCCTGCTGCTGCTGCTGCATCGGAAAGTTCAACAGCGAGCTCGCCGTGAAAGACTGACTGCGGCCGGAGGCGGGCACGCCCATGACGGAAGCCCGCGAGGAGGGGTTGGCGCCGGCGGCGGCGTTGGGGTTCGCGAGGTTCATGCTGGAGACGGGGCGGTAGCGGCCGGGGAGGCCGATGTTGCTGCGTTCGCTGGGCGCGATGGACGGGGTGTAGCCGGGTCCGGGGCCGCCACCGCCGACGCCCCCGCTCATGAGATATGCGCTGCCGGGGCGGGAGGCGGCGGCGGCGTTCCAGCCGCTTGGGGGACCGTTCATGGTCATGGCGCGGCCGGTGTCGAGCATGGAGGCCGGGCGAGAAGTGCCGGCGCTGCCGAAGAATTCCGAATTGGGGCGTGGTTGGCCGGGGACGGCGAGGAGGGATTGTGGGTACTGCGGTTGGGGCAGCATGTTCGCCGCCATGGGCTGTTGTAATGCGGCTGGGTTGCCGCCTGACAGGGCGACTTGTTGCTGTTGTAGGGCCATCATGCTCTGCATGAATTGCATTTGCATCTGCATGAACTGCTGGACTTGGGGGTTGCTGGGATCCATCTGCGCGGCCATGTTGGGGGGAATCATCCCGGGCATCATGCTCATGGGGTTCATGGTGCCCGTCATGGACATGGCGCGAGGAGTCTGCTGTTGTTGTTGTGGAGGGAGCATGTTCGTCGGTAGGGGCAGATTCGTATTTGACCCACCGGCGTGATAGCCGAAACCTTGAGAGCCAGGGTTAGCACGGCGGGCGGCACGAGCGCGTTCTTCCCCAGCGATGACGCCAACGAGACCACCCGGGGTGGGAGGCATGCCACCACCCATGCCACCGTAGACCGACGCGGACGAAGAATGATGCAGGGCCAGAGATTCCCGGTTGGATTGATTTACTATCCCAGCACCGAAGTAGGGATCCGCTGGTAGGCGACGGGCAAAGGCGGGATAGCCACCGCCGCCTCCGCCACCGTTGACAACGGAGCCTGCAACCGACGTACGGCGTTGGTATTCGACATCATTCTGACCGCTCCCAAGACGAGTAGGTGGCCGAGCTCCATTGGGAAAGCCGTGAGCTTGTAGGATGCCAAGAGGGACGTCTTCATCTTCGTCGCTGTCGGAAGGTTTGTTGCGACCGGAGTTCAAGTTCGGCGGAGGCATACCGGACGCACCTCCGAAATGCAGGTTCCCCAAATTAGGCATACTAGACCCACGATTGGCATCGGGTCGAGCAGAACCCATGGGAGCGAGATCACGAGGTCCGCCTCCCGTCACCTTTTTCATCTGTTGTCGATAGACAGACATGTTCGCCTCTTGTTTCCTCCGCTGAGTGGCCATCTTCCTCGCTCGCTCCGTATCATCCTCGTCGTCGTCCAACTCTTCATTGTCCGATCCATCCTGGCTGCCGCGGGTATTGGTGATGTCCTCTGCACGTTTCTGCAAGAGCTTGAACTGTTGGTTGGTCATGCGACGCGCCCCACCGCTGTCGGCGCGGCTGTGGACGCCAGGGCGGATGGCACGGCTGGCTGGACCTGCGGGCGATGAATCGAAAAGCGGCTCATCGACGAGTTCCGCAGCGGCGGCGGCGATCTGCGCGCGAGGCGTGATCTCGGATTCTCCATTGCGGCTTCCCGATGCTGGACTGGTGAGTCCACGAGCGGTTGGACCACGCGAAGGGGTCTGTTTGGCGACGCCTGTGGATCTCGTCGATTGCGGGCTGTTGTATACCGGGTTCGGGTTGTCCTGCAATTCTACCCTCTTCACCCAACGGTCGCCATCGTCAAGTTGGGTTTGCCGGCTCGGGAAGGCGTTGCCATCCCGGTCGGACGCCAGATTGCGAGAAAGCGATGCCTCCGGACCGGGCGAAGGTGAGTTGTGTCGATCGGGAACCAACGAATATCCTGGTTTACCACCTTTGAAGAAGGTCTCGCCTAAATCATCCTCGCTCTTGGACTCGCTCAAACCTGGCGAACTGACCGCGGAATCGGATTGACCGCCATAGCCGGCCGCTGCCGCTCGAGCGTACAACGTCTCGGGTTCGTCACGTTTATTTTGGGCCTGAGACACCGTGAAGGAACGCCGCGACAACGTTTTTGGCGGGTACAACGGCTGTGTGTCCTGCCGATGAAGAGAAAAAAAAACATGTCAGTATTGCTGAGGAATAACACGTCATTTGCTCGTTTCGACTCACCTTCCGTTGAGGTCCTGCATTGGCCGCGCTTGGTGGGATGACAGAGTTGCGCTTCAAATTATCAAACATGCTTCCAAAATCATCATTGCCGATACTCGCGTCCAGGGTGAGTTCGGATTGCGGCTGGTTTGGGACGGCGGTGCTGGCATAACTGCTCGTGGTCAATGCGCGTTGGCGCTGAGGGCTGTGAGTTCGCGGAGGACTCTGTGGGAAGGTATCCGCATGTGGTGGAGGTAATGACGGTATTGATGGGATCGGAGGGACTTCTGAACTGTTCTTTTTGGCCGCCTCCTCCCGTGCGAGTTCTTTGGCGATGGTCTTGCTCTTGGATCCGAACGAGAACGCTCGGGCAGCGCGTGAGGAGAATGACGGTGGAGGGGGAAGGTCGTCGATGGCCATGGACGGTCGCGGGCCCATTGGTGCAGCGGGTGCCACTGGGGGCGCCGGGACAGGTGGTTTCCTCGCGGCGAATAAATCCTCGTCGTCTGAATCCCGATCGCGTTCCAGCGATGATGGAAGGGTCGAAGATGAGCTGTGTCGGCCAGATTGGACGGCCGAGTCGTTGTATCCGCTCGAACCCGAATTGGCAGTGCCTGCACTACCTCGACCAGGATTGAGGCCCCATCTCGATGTCGACTTTTTCTCCGCTGTACCATTTGACATTAATGTAAGGTTGTCGACGGATTTCCCGCGGAGCGCTTGTAGGGGTGATGCAAAAGTGCGTTTCGTCTCTGGGTCGGGGGCATAGCTGGGTTTGTTCTCCGGACGTTCCAACACGCGGAAGGTGGATTGTGCCGGACTGTCCGCGGACGCATCACCACCTGCAATGTCGAGGGCATTGCCGGAAGACTTCCGACGGCCGAGGCCTTTGATTGTGATAGGCATGAGGTCGGTCGAAGGAACAATTCAATCCGGAGGAATGTTTTGGGCGTTTGTGTCCTGTGAGGGAGGGAGGTCTCGGCGGGAATGCGGCGTGAATAAGGCGCTTTCGGGGAAATTTGGCGGAAACAGTGAGGCGAAGAGTCCAGTAAGCGTGTCAAGTGGTGAGCTCCTTTGGGAGAGGGTGCGTTGAAGCGAGCGATGAGTCGGTGATGATTAGACAATTATTAATAGAGATTGGGAGGGAATTGTCGCCGGTGAAGCAGGCATTCGAGGAGGACGATGGTCTGTCGTCTGGTGTAGAGACAGGCTGTGGACTAGTGGGAGAGTCCGAGAGTTGAATGGTGCAGGTGGCACGGAAGAGAAGCGGCGAATCAGGCAGAAACAAGCCGGCGAGTCAGTCGAGCGAGAGGTGATGAAGCGTACGTGAGAGAAAGTACGATGTGAACCAGTGAGTGGTGAGGGTGACGGGCGCGGAGGAAGAGTTTGCGGAAGAGTAGAGAGAGAGAGAGAGAGGGAAAGAGTAGAGAGAGAGAGAGGGAGAGAGAGTGAGAGAGTGTGTGTATGTGTGTGTGGGTGTGTCTCGACCAGCAGCAATGGAACTTTTCTCCCGGGTACGAGTTCGCCGTAGCAGCAGCAAAATATGTAATAGTGTGTACTGTATGTAGCTAGCATTGACAGTGACAGTGACAGTGACGGTGACGGTGACAGTGATGACAATACAATGCAATACACTACAATACCACAATACATTAAAATACAATGGCAGCGATCCTTACGAACGAAGCACTCCGGCGACCAGCAGGCAAGCAAAGCAATCCAGCAAGCAATCCAGCAAGCGGCGGCGGCAGGGCGGCAGGCAGGTAGGCAGGGTCATCGTCAACGAAGAATGAAACTTTCCTCTAGAATGGTTGAACGGGTGTGAATGGGTGTGAATTGTCAGCAGCCAAATCGGATGGACAAGTACAGCCACGTGATTTCCGTCTCGTCCAGCCCAGAGAAACGGTTGTCGAAACCGTTACCAACCCACACACACACACCCACCCACCCACCAATACACGAGAAGGATTCCTCATCCTCTCTCTCTCTCTCTCTCAAAGAAGAAAGCCCAATGAAGATCGATATGATGACGCTCCATTTGTTTTTCCTTTTCCTTTCGTTTTCTCCCTGGGACGACAAAAAGATGCGGGCATGACGGCCGCCAGTTGGAATGTTTATTATTACAGTCAGTCAGTCAGTCGGTCATCAGTCAGACAGACACGCGTACATCCTCCACGCGAGACGACGATTGAAGAACAAGAGGAGGAGATTCATCACGACAGCCATGTGCATCCCGGTGGCAGGGAAGCACTTGGTGCGGCTGGATCGTCACATCCCATCATCACCATCACCATCACCACCATCATCAGCATCAACATCAACATCATCATCCCTCATCTCAAATGCTTCGTGGTGGTCGGGTGGAATCACCCTGGACTAGGATCGGAGATGCGCGATCGGGTCCTTCCTCTGCCCGCCGCCTACCTCCCTGCAGTAATGAATGATAATGGGCACATGTCATATAGTTGCTCCTCTTGCGGTGTAGTCACTCACTCACTCACTCACTCTCACACACACTCTCTCTCTTTCGACGACGTTGTCTGTCTTCGGATGGACAAAGTTGCTATCGGGCTCTAACACGCGTAATAAAAAAACTACCGACAACCGAACAAGATTTGATGATGCGCGGCGATCCCCAGCGGAAATCATCACCTTCGAACTTCCATCACATCACAGCCGCGTTTACGGAACACCTGCAGTATCCGACGATAGGGCTCCTCCCTTCTGCTTTCTCGCCCAGGGAAATCCGCTAATGTACCCACTAGGCAGGTTGAAATGTAGGTACGGGGGCGGGACACCACCGTCGATAATTATAGCGCACCTTGCCGAACTAGACTATCTGTTTCTCTCCCAAATTTCCCCGACGATATGATCGAGACTAGTAGTAGTAGGGAAGAGGAGGAGGGAAAAACCGATGACGGAGATTCCGTCATTCCACGTCGGACGGGACCTAGGTAGTGACCACGACGGACTGCGGAACGATATCAGCCATATCCCTACAAGCGAAGATTAAAACAAAAAAAAAACATCCATATCGTGTAATTTGTTCCCTCCTCAATGGGGCTCAGCGAAATCCGGCAGAGACGGGACCCCGAAAAAAAGGGTGCTGCACCAATGCGATGTGGCGGAGAAATTCGTCACCTGCAGGCTGGGCGCGGCCGGCTGGGTGAATGGATGGATTGATGGATGGCTGGATGGCGACCTTGGTAGTCTCATCACTCACCCTCATCCCCATCATCGCGGGTCGACGACATTCCGCCTGGACATGCTCAGACAAGACAGACAAGACGGTCCAGGCTGCATCCTGACGATGATTTTCTGATAATGTAATACTTGTGACCACCGCCTCTTTGCCCTTCCGAGCTCCGTCTCGTCCTCCTCCTGTGGCACTCCACCACCACCACCACCACCACCACCATCATCATCATCATCATCATCATCAGCATCATCAGCATCATCCGTGGTTACCACGATCGCCCACGGATCCCAAACTGGACGTCGTCATCAATAGAACAGCCGTAGCTGTGCCCGTCACGTGTCCGTCGGCACCCGTTGGGGGATCGGAGTGTTCGTGTACTGGACTGGACTCCCGGGACGCGAGTCATCATCATCATCATCATCATCATAGTCGAAACCTCTGTCCGTCCGCCCGCGCGAGGCATGCATCCTTCTCACGACGATGGAAACCGGATGGGATACAGCCCTGGAGCGAGGATATCTGCTGCACGAGAAGAACGGTGGTGCGCATAATCTGTATATTCATATTCATATACATATACAGATACACGTGTATATATAACGTAATCTATCACCGAGCGGGCCAAATCACCGAACGGGCCATTTTGTCTTGGTATTGTAAACAACATCTTTCCTGTTTATTGTATCAACAACGAGACATGTTATCAGATAATCAAGAAGGTAGAATCGAT